TCTTCTTCTTCTTCTTCTTCTTCTTCTTCTTCTTCTTCTTCTTCTTCTTCTTCTTCTTCCTGGCCTTGGTGGTTCTGTGCCTGGTGTCCATATTCACTGGAGTCATGATCTTCATCATCATCTTCATCTTCTTGGCCTTGAAGTCTGTGGCTGCGGGCATGATTGTCTTCAGCTAAGTCACCATTGTCTTCCTCTTCGTGGTGCTGATGTTTGTTAGCTTGGTGTCCATACCCAGCAGAGTCACCATCTTCATCGCCATCTTCATCTTTGTGGCCTTGGTGCCTGTGTCTGTGTGCATGATGGAGTTCATCTGAACCCTCCTCATCTCCTTCCTTTGAGTGGATCTGGTGACCATGGGCCTTCTCATCTGAGTCTTCCTCCACATCCACCTTCTCTTCCTCTTCTCCATCATCATCTTCCCCTCCGTGGACATGGTGGACATGCCTGCTGGTGTGATGGTGATACACACTGGAGACAATGCCATCCTCATCCTCATCTTTATGGTTGTGGCTCCTCTTTCTGGAGAAGTGGTTCCCAGGCTCTGCTGAGTCCCCTAAATCTCCATTGTCATGGCCTCCGTGCCCATGCACTGGCCTAACACGCCCTCTGAAGACCTCTTCAGACACATTCTCCTCTCCAGCCTCATGGCCAGGGTACCTGTGGTCTTGGAGCTGGTGGTCATATTCCCTGGAGAAATCTTCTTCCTCTCCTCTGTGATCTTTGTCCTTCTCACCTTGGTGGCCCCCATGGCTGTGGATGTGGTGGCCAAACTCAGTTGACATGTCCTCTGGGGACCCAGGGATGCCTGCATTGTTGTTCCAATTGCCGAGACCCAGCCCAGCCCCTCTCAGCTCCTGGGCCACCACTGGAGGGACCAGAAGGCTGGTCACTGTGGCCCAAAGGAGACAAGAATGCAACCATGGCCCCTGGAAGCCCATGGGGACGTTTAGCAGCTGAACTTCTACCAGGCGTGGCTTCAGCTGCCTCTGGTGGGTCCTTATGCCTTTTTGCTTTGACTCTTAAGTTGTCTCTCTTTTGTTGTATCTCTCCTACTCTCTGTCTGTCTTCCTCAGGTCTTGGATGGCCCTCTGAGGATGTCCCCTTTGGAGCTGTGACCCTAGTTCCAGGACCTCCCTTCCCACTGCTGGGCCAATGGGGTCTGTCCCCTCCCCTCCTTGTGGCTAAATTTATCCTCAGCCTAAGTTATTCTGGTCTCTCCCCCTGCCTGCCCCTCCCCTCCTGCTCCTCTGGCTCAGGACTGGGTGGTGGAGGGGTCTTCATGGCCAGGAAGGGGCAGGGACTTGCAAGCTCAAGTTTGGTATCTTTCACACAAAGGCTAGACTGAAGAGTGTTATGCTGAAAAATCCTGGGGCGCTGGGAGAGGAGGAGTCTGTATGGGAGCAGGGGGACCTCCGCAATGCAGGAATTGTGAAGAATGCGCAGCCAGAATGGGACAGTCGGCGTCAGAGTGGATGTCATGCAGAGGCTGTGAAAGACAGTGAAGGAGTCCTGTCCCCAACACCCCATGACCTCCTGTCCCTGGAACTCAGATCTGGGGGCAGGGGAACAGGCCAGGGCTATAAATACAACAGGAGGGAGGGTGCTGGGGGTTCAGGTTACTAGGCCCCAGCTGTCCCCATCGGAGGGACTTGGCAGGAGACAGATGTCACTGCTTTCTGAGGGCCGGTATCGCCCACCCAGCACTTGCCACCATACCCATGTTCTTCGGGTTTTTGTCCTTTATGAGTCAAGCTCCTCCCCCCATTATAGGCACTTGCTCAGGGTCCCTGTTCCTCCCCAGGGTTCTGACCACCGCCACCCTCCGCACTCAACTCCTACTGTGCTCTCCCTGCTCTCTTCTGGTCTGTCTCGCTCAGGGTCTCTCTGATTCTGGGACTCTGTCTCCTGCCCTCTCTCTCTTTGCATCTCTTTCCGCCTCTGTCTCTGGGTATCTCATTCTCTCTCTGTAACTTTGTCCTCTCTTTCTGGGTCTCTGTCCCCTTTTCTTTCTCTGGGTCCCTCTCTTAGCTTCTGTCTCTGTCTCTCTCTGGGTCTTTCTCTCAGTCTCTGTTTCTCTGAATGAATTGTCCCTTGTCTGTGTGTGTGTGTGTGTGTGTGTGTGTGTGTGTGAGACTCTGCCTCCTTTCTTCCTCCGCTGGCTCTGCCCTCTGAATCTCGGTCTTTCGTGTCCCCGGGCCCCTCCCCACCCCTGGCTCGGCAGCAGTCTGTCCCTCCTCCGCAGCCGCCCTCTCCCCGCCTTCCATGACGTGTTCTCCGGGACTCCCCGCCCCAGGCTGGGCAGCGAAGTTGCGGATCCGGTTAGGTCGGGCGGGTCGGCGGCTGGAGGGAATACGAGGAGCCCCAGGGGCTGCGGCGGCGGCAGCATGGTGGGGCCGGAGAAGGAGCAGGTATCGCGGGGCTGGGAGTGAGCGGGGTTCAGAGGCGGCACCAGCCCCGCCGATCCGGTCGGAGGTAGCGGGCGCTGGGCCAGGAGTTCCCAGACTGAAGGGCTTGGGGTTCCGGCTGAGCCTGCGGTTGGACACTGGAGTTCCCGAGGGTGTCCCGGGAGGCGGCGGTGGTGTCTTCGAACCCGAGGTCTGACCGCGGTCCCCGCCCTGCCCTTCTTGTTCCGGGTCTCAGAGCTGGATCCCTAAGATCTTCAGGAAGAAGGTGTGCACGACGTTCATAGCGGACCTCGGCGATGATGCGGGGTGAGCGCTTCGCGGCTGCCGACCCAGCAGACATAGGTTTCGCGGGCCCTGCCCGATGCAGACAGGCCCCGCCCCTCAGAATGGACTCGCCCCCCTGGACGCACACAAGGCTGTCCACCGCAGACAGACCCTCCCCTGCCCACCGCAGAAGGCCTTGGTGCACAGACAGGCCCAGCCCAACACTCAGGCCCCGCCCACCAAGGACATTCCCGCCCTCACCTCAGACAGACGCTGCCCACCTTCTGGGCTACCCTGCCTAGGGCACAGCCAGGGTTCTTCCTTTCCCCCTAGCTGGGGGGTGGGTGGGGTGGTGGGGGGCATGTAAACCCCTTTCAGGGACCCATTCTGTGTCTTGGTGTCTCGTCTGTGTGTCTGTCCCTTTGTGTCACTTTGTCTGCTTCGGCGTTCTGTGTCTGTCTACTCATCCCGGCTCAGCGAGCGTAGCCCGGCCACCCTGCCAGCCTTACAGAGTTCTGCAGCTCTGGGATAGTGATTCCCTCCTTGGGCCGCGCCTGTCACCTGGGCACAGGACAGCTCCGCCCTCCTGGGGTTGCACACTAAACAAGGTCACTTTGGGACGTTTCTGGAACCCTGCCCACCACCTCATGAACACCCGGAAATATCTGCTACTCCCATGAGGAGAGGGCAATTACGGCTGCCCGCTGTGCGGCGCCCCCACAGGGCTTAGTCTCCGCAGCTGGGTTCAGCTTTAAATCAGTTCTCAGGGTGGTCTTTGGTCTGGGGCAGTGTCATCCGCATAGTGTGCCTTTGTCAGGAGCCTGCTGTCCCACCACTGTGGGACAGGAAAATATTGTGCGAATAAACACAGATACTGGCTTACTGGTGGGTCTGGCCAAGGGCCACAGACGGGGTGGCTGATGTGAGGGGGAGGAAATGAGCTGGCGGGATGCAAGTGTCACTGGGAAAGATGCTTCAGTGTGCTTGGAAGGTGGCTCTGGGCCTTGGAAGTGCATGTTCCAAGTCCTCCCTAATGACAGCCTGGCGTGGCTTGAGAGCAAAGTTCAGGGTGCAAAGAATGTTGTTATGTTGAGAAGGCTGGTGCCAGCCTGTGGGTACTCGGAGGCCTCCCTGAGTGTGGTTGTCGGGGGCTGGGTAGGCTCTCTGGGGGTGAGCTGTGGTAGGGTGGACAGGAGTTCGTTCGGGACGCTGAGAGGAGACTGGGCACCAGTGTTCATGGGTAGGTGGCTCCTGGGCATGCCTTCTGGAGACCAGAGTCATGAGCAAGATGGTGCCGCCCTTCTGTGTGCAAGCTACAGGGAGAAATTGAAACCATGGAAGCAGATGAGAAGAATGCAGAAACTGCCCTCCCTTTCCTGCCCTTCCCCTACTTCCTCCTTACACCTGAGGGCTCCGTTCAGTGGTAGCACACGGACTTAGCATATGTTGGGTTCCATTCCCAGGACCAAAACCCAAACCAAGAAACTTGCCAGGTATGTCGATAGAGGCATATGCCTGTTTTTCGTTCTAGCATTCTGAATGCTAGAATTCAGGAGCAGGCAGGGGCTCACTGCAGTTCTGAGAGCAACCTGGGCTACAGAGGCAGACTTTATCTTTAAAAAATAAATAAATAAAATAACAGCACCAAAAAGCAACCAGGGGCTGGAGATATGGCTCAGTGGTTAAGAAAACTGGCTGCTCGTTTCCCAGCACCCACAAGACAGCTCACAACCACCTTTAATTCCAGGTCCAGGGAATCTGACCCATCTTTAAACCTCCACAGGCACTGCACATACGTGGTAGGCAGACACACATGCAGGCAAATGCTCACATACAAAATGAAAAAACAAAACACAAACCCAACAAAACCCCCTCACCTCTCGGAGTGTCTTCAAGACAAACTCTAGCAGTTAGCATCCACCTTTCTCCAGAAGCGTCCTAACTGGCCCCTGGAGGCTTTGGGCTAGGGTATCATGAAGGGCAGCCAGGACACTGGCATGGTTCTTGTGTGCTCTGAGGGCAGCAAAGGGAAAAGAAAGCCACCCTGGGGGTTGGGCTACAGCTTTGAGGAGAGGGAGGATCAGGCCAACATTTCCAGAATGAGCACTTTCCATGGTGGCCAGGTACCCTCTGTCGGTGAGATGACACTTGAATGGAGCCACTGTGCCACACACACAGAGCAAAGGTGGCAGGAGGCAGGCAGGCCAAGAAAGCTTGTCGGCATCATAGGACCAGAACGTACTGTCTTCTGTGATGGCGAGGATCCTTGTCCACATGGGTGTGGAGACAGTGTGGCCAGTGCTGGTACGCACTGTGTGACAAGAAACTGTTTTTCTCTTGCTTTAGTTTTGGGTGTGCTCCTGAGCACAGGTGCAGCTGTGTGCACGAGCACACATACAGGGCGGAGGACAGCTGGGTACCCTGTTTTCTAAGACAGTGTCTCTCACTAGCGTGGGATGGCCGGGCTAGCCTCACAGAACCCCCTGTAGTGCTGGGATTACAGGTGTGTGGCACCACGCCATGTTTGTGGGTCCTGGGGACAAACTCAGGTCCTGATGCCCCCAAGGCAAGCACTTTCTCCCCCAGGGTTTGCTTTGAGTCAGTAGGTCAGGTTATAAGGAGCCCGTGTGGATTACAGACCCCTGGCAAGGTGCTCCAGAGATCTCATGCACAAGTTTTGACTAAAGGAGTAAAGGGATCTGGGGGTTCAAGAATGAGGTTCAGATGGGTAAGGGGGTTACTGAGGCATGCCAGGGTCCCCTGGCACTAGAGATGGAGTAGGTTGTGTCCATTACTGTAGCTCTGGGAAGACAACAGACCGTAGGTGTGGACCTGCTGCGTTTCCTATGCATGACCAGTGACGCGGCCTTCACTACATCACCGGCCCTTACACCAGGCGCACACTGAGGCGAGCTAGCACCCAGTTGTTCAAAACCAGCCAAAGCTAGTTTTAGAGCATCGTGGGCTCTGAAAAAGCAAGGGTTAGAAGGGTGCCGGGTCAGCTTAGAGGTTAGGAGCCCTGGTTGCTCTTGCAGAGGACCTGAGCTCAGTGCCCAGCACCCCGCAACCATCTGTAACTCCAGTTCTGCAGGATTCAACACGCTCTTCCAGCCTCCACGGGCATCGTGCACGGGCGTGGTGCGCTGGCGTGTGCAGAAGCAAATATTCACACATACAAAAGATAAATATATTTAAGAAAAACAAAATCCCGGGGGCCTGGGGCTGCATGGCTCAGTTGTTACTGGAATGCTTGCCTGGTGTGTGCTCAATCTGGGATCCGTCCATAAAATAAGCCAGATAAGGCAGTGCACACCTGTAATTCCAGAACTCTAGAGGCTGAGGCAAGAGAATCAGAAATTTGAAGCAAAAAGAAAAAGAATTTGTGATTAGCTTTGGCTATAGAAAGTTTGAGGCCAGCCTGGGCTACTGAGAGCCCATGTCAACCCCGCCCCCAGCACCATTCCCAGATCAGTAGTTCACTTAGCTTCTGAAACTTCAAGTGAGGCCACTATTTGAATTTCTTCCAGAATCAGGCCAAGGAGAATTAGCTACATTCCCCCCCCCCCCCCCCAAGTCGTGCACCTTATTCTTGGAAGCTAACATGACAGTCACCAGAGTAGCAAGGGATAATTGCACATTTATAATTTTTAAATATTCATTTTTGCTCTTTTTTGAAATTTTTATTTATTGTACCTGTATGGGCATTTTGCTGGTGTGTGTGTGTGTGTGTGTGTGTGTGTGCGCGCGCGCGCGCGCATGGGCATATATGGTGCCCGAGAAGGCTAGGAGAACATCGGGTCCCCTGGGCATGGCTGTGAGCCGCCTTGTGGGTGCTAGGAATCCAACTTGGGTGCTCTCTGAATACACTCTTAACCACTGAGGCATCTTCCCAGGATTTTGAGAGGAAACCATTCCATCTAGGAAGACCAGAAATGAAAACCATCATGTTGCCTGTTTCTTAGAATGAGAAGGAAAGCAGCAGGGAAGGGAGTGTATCGGGATAGGTTGAACAAAGAATAAAGCGACCCTACCTTCTAGCTAAGGCCTGGGCCCAGATGCTGGCTCCTGCCTGCCTTTCTGCCTGAGACAGGCTGACAGTCAGGCCGGCACCGGGCACAGCAGCCTCCTCGCAGTCAGGGAACTCTGAAAAAGGAGCGACTTTTCCGCTGTGCAATTCTAAGTTATTTAAGGCTCTGTTTGGAGTTCATGCAGCCCGTCTCCAGCTGGGGCCGGTTGCTATCCTCACTTCAGGAGACACTGTGATTTTCTTGGCTCCTCTGAGTTCCGTGGAGCTGTTACTATCTTTGTGTTGGAGGAAATTCAGTCTCAGAGAAGTGAAGATGCACAGTGGCCTCAGCTTTTGGTACCGAAAACTTTCTTTTCTTTTTTTTTTTTTTTTTAGAGACAGGGCTTCTCTGCACAGCCCTCGAACTCTGTAGACCAGGCTGCCCTCAAAGCTTCAAACTAGGGATTAAAGGCGTGTGCTACCACACCCAGCTTTTTTGTGGCTGAGTCCTTAAAATTTCTTTCTCATAATGGATGTCATCTACTGGGGCCTGGCTGTGGTTATTCTGATCCTTCTGATCCTGCAGGCCAATCTCCCTGTCCTGCTTATTTGGGATGGAGCTTGACTATAGGGGCCCCTGCCTCAGTTTCTCCTCCAGGCAGTCAAAGCCCGTGCTGGGTTTACGATAGACGCTTTCTTTGGGGATGCAGGGTCGGTGTGGATGGGATATGAACATTTGTACAGGTTGGAGTCAGTGGGGACACCTAGGGTTCATGCTCTACCCTCCTGCCCCCAGAGGGACCTTGTGCCAGTGTGGGCAGCCTCGGGATGCCCACCCGTCCGTGGCCGTGGAGGATGCCTTTGGGGCAGCCGTGGTTACGGAGTGGAGCAGTGATGAGCACACTACCGAGAAGCCCACGGACGCCTACGGGGACCTGAACTTCATATACTCTGGCCGCAAACTCAGCAACGTGAGGCCTGCATGTCCGGGCCGCCGGGCTGGGTGGGGCTGGGACAAGGCTGAATGACTCCCCACTGGCCCACCCTGTCTTGGGGTGCCTCTGCCTAAGTGTCTGTCCCTCTCTCTCTCTAGGTCCTTGCTGCCTCCCGGTCTGTCTGCCCTCTCTCCTAGGCCTCTGTAGGCTTCTCTCTGGGTCTGTCCCCTGCTGTCTCTGTCTCTCTGTCCCCACGTGTCTCATCCTCCTGTGTCCACAGTTCCTCCGGCTGTCTGACCGCACGGATCCAGCCACTGTGTACAGCCTCGTCACTCGCTCTTGGGGCTTTCGTGCCCCAAATTTGGTGGTGTCCGTGCTGGGGGGTTCGGGGGGCCCCGTGCTCCAGACCTGGCTGCAGGACTTTCTGCGTCGTGGGCTGGTGAGAGCGGCCCAGAGCACAGGTGACCACAGGGACTGGGGACTGTGTTCCCTCGGCCTCGAACCCACTGTCGCCCTGGCTGGAGGGCATTGCTTCCGTTTGCAGGCCCTTGTCTCACTGTTTCTACTCTGTGCCTCCCCCGTCCGACATAGGGGCCTGGATCGTTACAGGAGGACTGCACACAGGAATAGGCCGACATGTGGGTGTGGCCGTGAGGGACCACCAGACAGCCAGCACCGGGGGCAGCAAGGTGGTGGCCATGGGTGTGGCCCCCTGGGGTGTGGTCCGGAACAGAGACATGCTGATCAACCCCAAGGTGGGAATGGGGTTCAGAGATGAGGCCCTGACCTGAAGTGCTGGTCTGAGGGAGGAGACTGGGAAGGAGGGCTGGGGAAGACCCTTGGGTCTGAGGGAGGATGTCAGGGACTGGTCCTCCAGTCTGTGGGGGAGCACCCTGTCCCTTCTAAAGGACTTCTTTGTCTGGCATTGTCCCCAGGGCTCATTCCCTGCGAGGTACCGCTGGCGAGGTGACCCTGAGGATGGAGTTGAGTTCCCCCTGGACTATAACTACTCAGCTTTCTTCTTGGTGGATGACGGCACATACGGCCGCCTGGGTGGCGAGAACCGCTTCCGCCTTCGGTTTGAGTCCTACATGGCCCAGCAGAAGACTGGAGTGGGAGGTAGGTGGGATTAGTGGTCAGACCAGCACACTGGACCCCGCTGGCCAGGTGTGGCCAGGACTGGACAGCTTTCCTCCCTTAGGAGTCTTGTCCAAGTCAGGCATGGTGGCGCACACCTGTAATCCCAGCACTCAGGGAAGCAGAGGCAGATGAATTTCTCTGAGTTTGAGGCCAGCCTGGTCTACAAAGCAAGTCCAGGACAGCCAAGGCTACACAGAGAAACCCTGTCTCGAAAAACTGAAAAAGAAAAAAAAAAAAGTCTTGTCCATGTTGGGTGTGGGGGCACAGACCTTTAATCCCAGCCCTTGGAGGCAGAGGCATGTGAGTCCCTGCCTCTGCCTCCCTGATTGCTGGGATTAAAGGCATAGGCCACCACGCCTGGCCCCAGCACCTACCCACAGCTCACAACTACCTGTAACTCCAGCTCTAGGGGACTCAGCTTCCTCTCTGGCCTCCTTAGTCATGTCACTCATAGGCACATACACATAGAGACATGCATACACAACAGTTTTTAAAAATTGGTTTTGCAGCTGGGTGCGGTGGCGCACGCCTGTAATGCCAGCACTAGGGAGGCAGAGGCAGATGAATTTCTCTGAGTTTGAGGCCAGCCTGGTCTACAAAGCAAGTCCAGGACAGCCAAGGCTACACAGAGGAACTCTGTCTTGAAAACCCAACATCCCAGTACTTGAGAGGCAGGGGAATCTTTGAGTTTGAGGCCAGCCTGGATAACAGAGTGAGTTCCAGGACAGTCAGGGCTACACAGAGAAACCCTGCCTCAAACAAACAAATAAATAAATTAGTTTTAAGAAAACAAAAAAGGTAAAAGATAGTTTTGAATCTGTTACTTTCAAAGTACTAAACTGAAGGACTTTTAACTCTGGGTCTACTCGTGCAGCTAGCTTTCCAAAGTGGAGCATTGAAGTTCAGTCACCACGGAGACTGTCCTCCTGTGTCTCCAGCCCCTAGGAGCTGCAGTCTGCTCCCCCTGCTGTCTTGTGACTGCAGTGTGAGGCTCCCAGTTCAAAATGCCTAGGACTAGACATGTTTTCAACTCCAGGTGTTTTCAGGTTTTGGAATATGTGTATATACTTTACCTGTTGATCATTTCTAAGCAGAAAAAGGTCAGAAATCAAAGATGCTCCTCCAAGTCCTTATTTGAGCATCACGGGGACACTTGAAAGCATTTCGGATGGGGTTGACATAAGTTAACATATGACCTTTGAGGCCAACTTTTTTTCAGTGTCATGACAAAATGTCATTCTTGGTGGGAATTCAACTTTACAAACCGAATCATCAGAAAGGACAGAAAAAAAAGTGTGCAGTGGGGTGGGCACAGCTTTAATCTCAGTGCTCTGTTCTCAGAGGCAGGGGAGCCCAGTGAGTTCAAGGCCAGCCTGGTCTACACAGGGCTGAACAGCCAGGGCTACATAGTAAAACCCTGACTCAAATATATATATTTGAGAGAGAGAGAGAGAGAAAGTCCTGTCCTTCTCCCCACTGGGCGGTCATCAGTGTTTCACAGTCTGGAGTTCACATACGGTCTTGGTCTCCTTTTCTTTTTCTCTCTTCTCCGTCTCTCTCCCTTCTTCTTAGCAATCCTGATGCCTCAGCCTTCCAAGTGCTAGGATGACTACAACATGGCATTTGTTCGCCTTTCTTTGTGATATTAGACATAACCCGTTACACTTTCCTCATGCGTAATCACATGCTTCTTTATCTCCTCTTTCTGACACGCTGGTGACTGAGCCAGGGCTGTGTGCAGGCCAGGCGGCCGCTGGACCTTGTGAGCCACATCAAGCATTCCCAGCTCTTCATGTAGATAACACCTCTCATTTGGGACTTTCCCAGTTGACTAATGTTAGGGACTTGGACCATCTGCCACTAGAAACAGCGCTGAATGCCTGTGTTTGCTGTCCACATGTGCCGATGTGGGTTCCACACAGCTTCTATAGCTCCATGGCTTGACTCAAAGTCAGGACTCCATAGTCAGTGTTCTGTGCCTAGAGGCGACCCCGCGTCCCTCGGAACCCTTATTAGAGAGAGCATTTAACTGGGGGACTACTTTACAGGTTCTGAGATTTAGCCCATCATCACCGTGGAGGGGAGCATGCGGCACACAGGCAGGCTCATGCTGGAGAAGCAGCTGAGATCAAAGCAGGCTGGGCTACAGAGTGAGGCCCTGTCCCCTAAAACCCAAACCAGCAACAGCAGCCAACCACAAAAGCACACATTTAAATTCAACTGTCTACTTTCTTGTGCTATTTCTTCAGCCCAGAGTTCCATAATGGGTGGTTGAAGTGTGGCCATCCAGCCTCATGCAGTCTGTTTTCTCATGTTCCTGGGGGTAGAATCAACATGCCATTCCCTTATATGATTTTACTATGGGCGTTGTTAACATTTTTATGGTGCTAAGATTGCCCATCTGTTTGTATTTCCTTCCTTTTCCACTTGAACTCTCACCTCACTGGCCTTCGGAGTGCTTAGCCAATCATAAGACTGACTCAGGAGCCAAGAGTCCAGGTCTGAAGCTCTGCTCCTTTCCGAGGTGCGGTGGACGCCCTGGGCTTCTGGCACTGACACCGTCTACAAGAGGATCAGAAGTTCAGGGTCTCCCTGGGCTCCGTAATGAGGCCAGACTGGGGTGCATGAGACATTGTTTTTGAACATACAGTGGTGATGGGGGCGTGCCGGGGAACGACCTGACAGAGAAGGTGTTTGCTGGGCGAGACTGAGGCCCCAGAGTTCACATCAAGGTGGCTGCAGCAGCTCGTGTCTGCAACCCCAGCTCTCCTGTGGTGAGATGGCGGACAGAGCCAGCTGGCCTGGCGTGTGCAGTGGTGTATAACAAGGCGGAGGGTGAGGACCCACACCTGAGCTTGCCTTCTGACCGCACAGTCATATATGGCACATGCCAGCTGTAATCACACAAACAACAACAACAATAATAATAATAATAATAATAATAATAATAATAATAATACCCATAAAGTCTTTTCCCACCCAAAAGTTCACAAAGAATGACAGGTCCCAGGCTGATGAGGTGGCTCAGCAAGTAAAGGCACTTGCTGCCAAGCCTGATGGCCTGAGTTCCATCCCCAGGACAAAGCTGAAGGAAAGAACAGACTCCCACAAATTGTCCTCTGACCTCTACACGTTTGGGAGCACCATCTGCCCAACACTACATAAATAAATGTAACACAAATTTTAAAAGAATGACCATTCCCATGAGTCTTGGCCACAAGGTTGGGATAAGGTCACAGTCTGCCCCTACAGACTCCTGGGAAATGTAGTTCTTTTGCATCCCCAGCCAAGGCTGATAAAGTGTGACCAGGTTTCCCTCTCCCTGTCTCCCTGTCTCCCTGTCTCTCAGGGACTGGAATCGACATCCCCGTGCTCCTTCTTCTCATCGATGGTGACGAGAAGATGTTGAAGGTACCTGGAGCTGCATGTCTCTGTCTGAGGTGGGAGGAGAGCTGAGGGCCGAAGCTGTGCTCCAGAGTCTCAGGGCTGTGGGGACCAGAGGCTGGGCCTGACGAGCTCTCCCCTTGCTCCTGAAGCGGATAGAGGACGCCACGCAGGCTCAGCTGCCCTGCCTCTTGGTGGCTGGCTCTGGGGGTGCTGCAGATTGTCTGGTGGAGACCTTGGAGGATACTCTAGCCCCAGGGAGTGGAGGACTCAGGCGAGGCGAAGCCCAGGATCGGATTAGGCGTTACTTCCCTAAGGGGGACCCTGAGGTCCTGCAGGCCCAGGTATGGAATTGTGAAACCAAGGTGGCAGGGCTGGGCAGCCTGGCTGGCAGGTCTTAGGGACAGGTGGAGCCACCCATCTGGGCTGGGGACTAACTTTCTGCGTTCTACAGGTAGAGAGGATCATGGCCCGAAAGGAGCTGCTGACGGTCTACTCATCAGAAGACGGTTCGGAGGAGTTTGAGACCATCGTTCTGAGGGCTCTTGTGAAAGGTGGGATGGGTAACCCCACACTTACCTTTCTTCAGCCTCAGATGGTCGGTTGACCCTCTCTCCACCCTCTACCCCGTAAGCTAAGGTCACACCTCTCTCTGTGCCTCTTATGTCTTTTCTGATTCCTAGGTTTTTGCCTGATGCTGTTGGACAGTTTTCTCTAGACACTTTCATTATGTGCAACCACCACCTGGCTGTTGGGGCCACTCCTCTCTATGTCTGTTCATCTCTTTGTATCTTCATCTACCCACCACTCCACTCATTCTTCATTCTTCCCTGTTTCCCTTCACCCATCCATCTTTTCATCCAGCCTCCCACTCACCACCCACTTATCCATCCATCCATCTACCCTCTCCCTATCCACCCATGAATCCATATATCCGTCTCTCTATCCATCCATCCACCCATCCACTTGTGCGCACATTCATCCATCCACTTACATACCTATTCATCCATCTACCTCCTGTCTACCCATCCTCACAGCCATCCGGCCATGCAGACCCACCTACCCACCCATTCACCTGTCCATCCATACATTCATGCACACACCCACCTACCCATCTGTCCACCCTATTAACCACCCGCCAGCGCTTTAACTGTTCAACACATCCATTCTGTCCTCTCATTTGCCTTTCCATCCATCTTAAATCTCACACGCTGTGTGGCTTGTAAGCTTGTCTGAAGAAGCTGGTGGGACCACAACAGCTCCCTGAGGCTCAGAGAGAGGGAAGTAGCTTACACTAGTGCCCCAGCTAGTGGCTTTGCATGACTGAGGATTTAGGTCTGTGGGATGTGGTCTCTAGCATGGAGTATTTCTGAGGAGACAAAAGGAGTCTGGTAGCTTGTACACAGCAGAGTGTGCTGGAGTCAAGAGCTTGCTGCAGGCCCCTACCAGCTGAGGGGTTGGAGGCTGAGACTTTTCCCTGAGAATCAGGGATGAGGATACCAAGACCAGTCTATGTTAGAGGGGTCTCCATGGAGCAGGCAGGGCAGCCGGGTTAGGAGAGATGAGATCATGAGCAGAGGAAGAGACTTTGGTGACACTGAGCTTGGATGTGCTGTGGCCACTTGGACTGCATGGGAGACATGGCACAGTGGCCCAGGGACTGATGGGCTGTGGGACATGAGGGATGGATCCTAGGGTTTTGCCTTGCTGAGTGAGTTGACCTCAAGAAAGTTGGGTGTGGGTCAAGGTGAGCAGGTTAAGGGCAGGAGGCTCTTGAGATAAAAGTTAAGGCACAGGGAATTTTTGAGGGAACATGCATTCACTGATACACCAAACTCTTCACCCATCCCTGCCCACCACCATCTCTCCATCAACCTGTTCACCCACCCACCTGCCCACCGATCCCTTCATCCACCCATTGTGGGTAAGCAAGATTTACCAATCCATGTGCTTTCTTTCTCTTGATACTCTGGAAAAAGTTCAAGGAAAGTACAGATTGGGAATAAGTCTCACTCTCGATGTATTTTCATTTTTTTAAATGAAATGGGAGGTTGTGTGGTCCTGGGCATGGTCATGGCCCTCTTTGGACTTTTATTGGCCGTAGGTAAGCTGGATGAGCTGGAGATGGCTGCCGTCTGGAGCTACTTCTTGTCATTGTTGGCACTGCTGTCAAGAGTGTCAATGTGACTCCAGTTCATAGAGGAAGAGGCAGCAAAGCGGACATCTGCCTGATGTCCCCACCCATCCCTGAGCCTCCCTCTCATCCTTCCAGCCTGCGGGAGCTCTGAGGCGTCCGCTTACCTGGATGAGCTGCGTTTGGCTGTGGCTTGGAACCGCGTGGACATTGCCCAAAGTGAACTTTTCCGTGGGGACATCCAATGGAGGGTGAGGAGTCAGGACACAGGGACTAAAGACCCCGCAGCAGGGTCCACATTCCTCCTTGGCTGACTTCTTGGAAACCTGCTCCTACCTTCCATTATGATCTCTCTGTCCTTCCCTTAATTGCCCACTCATCTCTGGTTGTTCCTTTGTCCCTTTCTATCCATCATCCACTCATGCTGTCCCTCCATCTATCTAACCATCCACCTCTCTTTCTATCCACCCATCAAACCATCCACGAACTCACCTATCTGTCCATCATCTATCAATCTATCCATCCATTCATCAGCCCCTTCACTCTCCTCCCATCATGCTTCATTTGTGGCATTGCGCCTCGATCTCTTGTCCTCTGGGTTCACCTGGCATGTCTGTATTAGCTTATCATGGTCCCCTCGCTTTCCCTCACACAGTCCTTCCACCTGGAGGCCTCTCTCATGGATGCTCTGCTGAATGACAGGCCTGAATTCGTGCGCCTGCTCATCTCCCACGGCCTTAGCCTGGGACACTTCCTGACCCTCCCGCGCCTGGCCCAGCTATACAGTGCGGTGTCCCCTAACTCACTCATCCGCAGTCTTCTGGACCAGGCATCACATGTCGGCAGCGGCAAAAACCCACCCGGATCTGTGGAGCTCCGGCCTCCTAAAGTAGGGCAAGTTCTGAGGACGCTGCTGGGGGAAACGTGCGCACCGAGGTACCCTGCCAGGAGTGCCCGGGACTCCCAGCTGGGCCAGGACTGCAAAGAGAGGGTAAGGACCTTAGAGACTGAGAGTGCATGGCTGGGCTGCGCCAGGGAGGGGCAGGGCTCTGGAAAGGGGTGTAGTAAAATGGGGAAGGGTAGTGTTTGAGAGAGGGTGGGGCTACTTCTTGTTCGGCCTCTCTTTGTTTTCAGGCCTCTCTGCTTATGGACTGCGCCACTCTGCCATCCACAGACGCCAGCTTTGAGCAAGCCCCCTGGACTGACCTGCTTATTTGGGCTCTGTTGTTGAACCGGGCCCAGATGGCCATTTACTTCTGGGAGAAGGTAAATGCTGACCTTCATTCTGTCATCCCGTAGACCTCAAGTTGCCTCCAACCCCCGCAGGCAGCTCTGACCTCTGAACTCACCCAACCTGCACTCTTTCTCCCTTTTATTGTTCTGAGGCAGGGTCACACACAGCCCAGGCTGGCCCTGAACATGATGTTAGGATGATCTGGAACTCGTGCCACTACCCTTAGCTCCTTGAGAATCAAACCCAGTGCTCTGTGCTTGCTAAACAGCTCTCTACCCAGTGGGGCCACGGTCCCCACCCCTAGTTTTGCTTTGCTGAGGCAGGGTCTTCCTGTGTAACGCAGGCTACCCTCTGCCTCACGAATGCTAAATGTGACAGGCGCCCCACACAGTCTGAATTTTTAAAAAAGAACATTGATGACACTGTAGATAACCATCGTCCCCTTCCAGGACTTGTCTCCCCAGACGGAACTCAGCACCCATGAAAATAGCACCTGGGGCATCCAGCCACCACCTGGCTATTCTGTCTTGAGTGTGATGATCATGACCCTGTCTAATAGCCCTGGGAAGCATTTGTCTGGGTGAACCCTTGGCCTTAACGACTCCATTAACTTCGGTTCTCCCACCATCACAAGCTTTCTCCTTGTTCCTTTCCCAGGCTTCACACTGAGCTCTGACCACCCCATGTCCTCTTTCTCTCCAGGGCTCTAACTCAGTGGCCTCTGCTCTTGGGGCCTGTCTCCTGCTTCGAGTGATGGCTCGCCTAGAGTGGGAGGCTGAGGAGGCCTCCCGGCGGAAGGACCTGGCGGCCAAGTTTGAGAGCATGAGTGTGGGTACGTGGGGCAGGGTGTTGCGGGCACACACAGGCACCCCCCCCCACTCCACCCGTCCTCACCTGTACTCTTGTCCCCAGACCTTTTTAGTGAGTGTTACCACAACAGCGAGGACCGGGCAGCCCGCCTGCTTCTGCGCCGCTGTCCCCTCTGGGGAGAGGCTACCTGCCTCCAGCTTGCCCTGCAGGCCGATGCCCGTGCGTTCTTTGCCCAGGATGGGGTACAGGTGAGCTTGTGACTCGACCACCACGAGCCCCACGCCTGGACTCCACTTGTCCCTAGAACAATGGGTCTCAACCTTTGAGGGCCAAACAACCCTCTCACAGGGGTCAAATATTTACCTTGAGTCATAACAGTAAGCCCGGTGTGATGGCACACTCCCAACGCTTGGAGAGGCAGGGCCAGGCGGATCTCTGTGAGGCCAGCCTGGTCTACAAAGAAAGCCAAGGCTACACAGAGAAACCCTGTCTCAAACAACAAAAACAAACAAACAGAAAGAGTCTTAACAGTAAGCCAGGAGGTGGTGGCCCACACCTCTAATCCCAGCACTTGGGAGGCAGAGGTTGGTGAATCTCTCAGCCTACAGAGTGTGTAGCCAGGGCTACACAGAGAAACCCTGTCTCAAAAAAGAAAAAAAAAAACACCCCCAAAATTTATGATAGTAGCAAAATTACAGTTGTAAATAGCAGTAAAAATAACTTTATGGGGGACTGGAGAGATGGTTCAGAGGTTAAGAGCACTGGCTGCTCTTTCAGAGGTCCTGAGTTCAATTCCCAGCAACCTCATGGTGGCTCACAACCACCTACAATGAGATCTGCCCTCCTCTGGCCTGTGGGTGTACATGAAGACAGAACATTGTATACATAATAAATAACTAAATCTTAAAAAAAATAACTTTACAGTTGAGGGTCACCACAACAAGAGGAGCTACTGCCTTGGAAAATGTCACTTCACTCTTTTCCACAAGAAGACCTGCTGCCACAGCAAGAGCACACGAACCCCCCAGTGTTGTTGCTTACAGGAAATGCCATATTTCACACAGGAATTTCCTCTTATTCCCACAGGCTAGCCCACTCCTCCTAAAGGAAGTCCCACCTCCCCAAACAGGAAGCCCTTCCCCCTTCCTTAAGCTGTTGGTAGCTCTGCTTCACCACAGTTAGATGATTCCTGGGAACGTTATCTAGCATTTTAGAGAGAGAGAGAGGCGGTGAAAGAGGGGAGCCTCCCCGGAGGGACAGCCCTGTTCAGTCTCCACAGTCTCCAATCCCGACACATTGAAAACAACCAGGGACCATGAATGAATTGGAATCTTAGAAATTCTCACACTCAGTGACCCTCAGTCCACTCAACAGGAAGTCCTGCTTAACCTAGCGGGACGTCTGGTTTGTCCCAGTAAGTGGTCCTGCTGCCTTGCCCATTGAGATGTTTTTAGCTGGCGGTTCAAATGATTTACCCAGAGTTCCGTGCTTTCGCCGGTGGTGAAGCTCGTGGATTCTGCTCAGTCGCTGTTGTTTGTTTTAGCCAATCTTGTGTGTCAAAAGCAGAAAACACTAGTACTACCGTCCGGGGTTAAACAATCTGGTCCCCACAGAGTGCTTGGCACGACCTCTGCCCTTTGCTGTCAGTAAAGCTTGGCTGCTCCGGGCCTGGAGAAGTGGGTCCCTGGTTAGGGACAGGGACAGGCTGCTCTTGCAGAAGACCCAACTTTGAGTCCTGTCACCCGTGTGGCAGCTCACAACCATTTACAGCTCCACTTCTGTGGGATCTGGTGCCAACTTCTTACCCATCCAGACACCAGGCACGCCTTGGTGTGTATCCCGCTGGCCCAGGATAAGACCACTACCACAAGTTTTTTGAGCCAAATTTGAAGCATTTTTGTTTTTCTACAGATCTCTTAAACTTAAAACATGTCAGCCCCCACAATTGTGCACAGAACAGACAAGGATGCGGACACAACACCCACACACATTAAGCTATTCCATTCTATCGGCTAAGGGCTAAGGAGGTGGCCCTTGACTCCCGTCCCCCAGGTTCCAACGGCTGAGACCCCATATGGAAGTTTGCTCTGTGCCCCAGTCTCGTAGTCCAACCCTCATCAGGGTCTCGGGTGGGGTGCGGGGAGAGGCAAGCCCTTCTGTTCCCACCTCTCACAGTCTCTGCTGACACAGAAGTGGTGGGGGGAGATGGACAGCACGACACCTATCTGGGCGCTGCTGATGGCCTTCTTCTGCCCTCCTCTCATCTTCACCAGCCTCATCGCCTTCAGGTCGGTCCCCGAGGGTCCGGAGGTCAGTCCCTCACCTCTGCTCAGTTCTCACTGCCCTCTTCCCGGCCCCCTCAGCAGGTCCCCTCCCTGGAAAGGGACTGTTTCCCATCTCTGGCGGGAATGTTTTGGAAGGTGGGGGTTGTTGAAGTGCTTCTGCAGCATCTCTCTGCGCAGTTTCCCTACTTTTTAGGTCACTTGTCTCTTTGCACGGTTTGTGGTAAAATGAGTTTGGGTCTTTCTCGAGAGCCCCTGTTTCTCATTCTGTGTCCTGCCCCCAACGGCAGGAAGTCAGAGGAGGAGCCCACGCAGATGGAGTTGGACTTTGACCTGGACAGCAGCATCAACGGCGCAGGCCCTGCCGGGTGAGTGGCACCCCAGCACTGGGGGAGGGCGCCGGGGGCAGTGTCAGGACTGTGTCAGCTCCCACTTCCATCAGGCACTGGAGCAAGGCCTGAAGGGAGAACGGGGCTTTCAGCATTCTATGGCTTCAGTGAGCCGCTGAAGGTGCTGAGGCCATTTCTCGAAGGCCACGCTCAAGGACTGACCTGAAACTTGGTCCTTGGAGCCAGTGAGCTGCTGTGCGGGTACAAAAGCTGTCTCTCCCACAAGGACATGGCCATCAGTTTGCCTTGGGCTCCCTGTGCGTCTCCTGCCGCTGCCCTGTGAAGGGAGCATTCACTTTTCTATCACGTCTCTGACGCGAGGCCCCTTACTCTGTCACTACATGGCAGTCCCCATGAAGAGCTTGTGAGGACCAGGCTCAGTATGTGTAGTGCCATGGCTGAGTGCTTTTCTAGCCTACTCGAGACCCTGGGTTCCACCCCAGGCCAAACAAAGAACCCAAAAACTACGGGACAAGACAAACAAAAAACCAATGAGGAGAGAGCCAGCAAAGTGCCGCCACACAAGGAGCTGAGTTCAGTGCCCAGCGTGTGCAATAGAAGGTGGCGGTGCCTGCCTGCGCAGGTGCCGGGAGGCAGAGGTGAAAGGAGCACAGGGCTCGGCCAGCCGGTGTGTGTGGCTGGGCCAGCAGGCCTTGGGGACGGTGAGGAAGCCGCCAAACACTGGCCTCTCATCTCCACCTGTCCAGGGGTCTTAGTCTGATTCACATAATCTAGAAATGGACTCAGAACAAAGCTTGGGACAATTTTATTAAAGGTTGAGAGAAAAGCAGAAGAGCAGGCGACTGTGAGCCGCCTATGAAGAGGAAGAGAGGAAGCCTCTCCTTTGCCACGGAGGCTGGCAAGCAGTGGTGTGGTGCAGAGAGGGGAGGTGTGGCGCTTTGCAAAACCAGTGAGAGGGCCCAGAGCGCCAAGGAAAGCATGCCCAGGCTTTGGGCAGTATCCAAAACAAACAAACAAACAAACAAACAGAGACATAGAAAAGGAAAAGGAAGCGTTGTGTTTTTCCAGGTCAGGAGTCAGAAACTCCAGCAGGTTGCATGTAGAGGGTGAGGGCCGCTGCCTCCAGGGAGGGCTTCTGGGAAGCCAAAGTGAATTGTATCATATTGTATCATTTAGGAGATAATTAATCTTTTCCTGTCTATGGAGTGACTCAGACTCCCTGGAGCAGAGAAAGACTCTGTGACTAACAGGCTGTGCTGAATTAACCCTTCAAACACTTAAAATATTTTATTTTTAATTATGTGTCTATGTGTGGATGTCCCGGATATACATGCAGTTCCCCCCCCCCCCCGGCCAGAAGGGGTGTTGGATATCCTGGAACTGAAGTTATACAAAGTGATAGGGGTTCTCTACCGACAAACTCAGCCAGTTCAAGCCAAATGAAAGTTTAAAGGCAGTTTCATTGAGGGCAGCTCCCAGGCGGGTTCAAGGAATGGGGGCCAGGGAAGTGATCATTGCAAAGGGAGACAGGGGGGAGGGGGAAGAGAAAGACAGAGTATGTGCAGAGAGAGAGACAGACAGACAGACAAAATGTCTGGCTTATATAGTGAAGAGCCCCTGGGGGAGAGAAAGCCCTGCCTCAGGTAGGGACTGAGGGATGTGGGAGAACCTGGAGGCCAGGTCTGCTTTGGTTTGTTAAATAGGCACCTCAGCCTCTTGTCCTGGGTCTGAATCCCAACACAAGGTTCTGCACTGCTCTGTGGGTACTGGAAATTGTCAACACACATACACACAGATATACACACATACAAACACACATACACACAGATACATACAGATACATACACACACACACATACACACAGATACATACACACACATACAAACACACATACACACAGATACATACAGATACATACAAACACACATACACACAAATACATACACACACACACACACACACACACACACACACATACACACACACCCTATAACAAACAAACCAACCCCCACAGCTGTCAAACGGAGTAAGAGCCAGGTATGAATGACCTAAGCCCGGGAACATGAAGCTAAGTTAGTTTTATGTTCCAACATGTAAACAGTTTCAAGGAGTTTTTATAACAACAGAACAAAGAAAGTCAGGAATCAAGGCATTTAAAAATACACTGGAAGAAGCCGGCTGAGGGGGCGCGTGCCTGTGATCCCAGCACTCTGGGAGGCAGAGGCAGGCGGATCACTGTGAGTTTGAGGCCAGCCTGGTCTACAAAGTTAGTCTAGGGCAGCCAAGGCTACACAGAGAAACCCTGTCTCAAAAAACAAAGAAAGAAAGACTCCACTGGTAGAAATACTAAGTGAGCAGAGAGAACTGCAGCCCCAGGCCCAGGCACTGGCTTTCGGCATTTTAGCTGTCTGTTGTCGGAGCGTAGACTTCTATAAAGTTAATGAGGCAGAATTTGTATCTGTTTACCAGGGTGTTAGATCTGATGCCGAGGGAGACAGAGGGTTAAGGACATCCCAAAAGAAAGCAGACTATCTTATGACACCCTGGTGTTATAACAGCCACAACAGCCCATCACCTCTGCAGGCAGCTTCTCTCCAGAAATTTTCAGCCTCAGACCTGGTCCTTCCGAAGAGCAGCCTGCTCAGAACTGCTAAACCAGTTCCTCAGTCCCTTAAAGTTGTTGTTTTTTTTTTTTTCTAAATCCACTTCATTGTGTTATTTGTGCATTTTTCGAGGGGTTGCATGCCTCAGCAAGGGTGTGCAGTCCAGAGGACGGCTTGTGGAGGCCGGTTCTCCTTCCGCCTTAGGGGTCATGTCTCAAGCCTGTGGCAGACACTTGTATTTGCTGAGTCTTCTCCTTGGTCCTGGGTAACTCCTGAGAGGACTCAGCAACACTGTGTGATGTCTTGAGTAGTTTAGAATTATCCTGTCCTCATCCAAGGCCGGAGTGTTGGGGACACAAGGATCCTTGCACCCACAGAGCACTATGGAGACCAGGAATGTTAAACACACAGGGGCCTCTTCTCATTGAAGGAGGTAAAATAGCTGTGTTCCTGCCCGGATGGCTTGGGGTGGACTTTGTTAACCTGGTGACCTTTTTGATGTCTGTGGTGGGCAGACCTCACCCACCTTTGGCTAAAGGAAGACCTCACTGAGATCCCCCAGAAGGCTTACTCCGAACTCCCCCTCCCTGGACATTACCCGTCCTTACGGGAGACGCCGCTTGCATTGCATGGCCTGCTGACCTCTATGCTGTTGGTCGGACACCACGCTAGATTCCAGGCCTTTTGGCAACAGAACCCACCCTCGTGCTCACATCTTAAGAAAATGAGAGAGGCCTCTCCTTTGCCACGAAGGTTGGCAAGCAGCGAGGCGGAAAGAGGAGAGGGTCAGCGCTTCACAAAAGGAGAGGCACACCTGGGTGACGCTGCCTGCAGTTTTCCCAGAGTGCTGTGGGGTTTTGTTGTTTTGTTTTGTTTTTTAATTTCTTTTGTTTTTTTGACGCAAGGTTTTTCTGTGCATCCTTGGCTGTCCTTGACTGTCTTTGTAGACCAGGCTGGTTTTGAACTCACAGAGCCCCACCTGCTCTGCCTACCCGAGCCCTGGGAGTACAGGCGTGTGCCCTGCTCCCAGCCTGTACTGTGTTTTGAATATGCTGACGATGAACAACCTGCGTGAGACTCCAGCAGTCAGTCTGCACTGGGCTTTCATTCTCACCTCTCCAAGGGTCCCTACCCACACGGACCCCTGCAGGGTCCCCCTCGGCAGAGGTCAGATCCCATTCTTTTAACCAGGCAGAAGTAGATGAACCTGGACAAAGCTCCCACCTCCCCACCTTCTCATGTGGTTTGAAATCTAGCGCCCCAGCTGCCTCTGAGGCTCCCAGATCAACTGTGTGCTGACAGCATTGCACCAGACCATGGTTCAAATCTATGTTTGATTCTTTTTAGATTTTTCTTTAAACTTTACGTGTATGGGTAGTTTGCCTGCCTGTCTGTCTGCACATCATGTATGCTCACAGGGGCCAGAAGTAGAATCCGCTTAGGGTGCAGCTGTAGTCAGCTGTGAGCTGCCGTGTGGGTGCTGGCAAGCAAACCCGCATGCCCCAGAAGAGCAGGCCGTGCCCTTAACCGACAGCCGTCTCCCAGCCCAGTTAATTTAAATAGATAGAGACCCCCAGTACAGATGCTCAGTCCCTTTATTTGTCAGCGCCTTGCCCTGGCCTCCAGCGGCTGAGGAGCCACCTTCAGACTCTGTCTCCAGGTTTGCACGTTCTGGAAACCTCCCTGTGTGGAAATGACACTCTGGTATTTTCTCGATGGCTTTGTTACCTTTGCATCTTCTAGACTAGTTCTCTCCTGCTCAGTTCTTAAAGACAGGTGTGGCGCACACCTTTAATCTCGGCACTCAGGAGGCAGGGGCAGGTTGATCTCTGAGTTCAAGGCCAGCCTCGTCTATGGAGTGAGTTCCAGGACAGCCAGGGCTATACAGAGAAACCCTGTCTCAAAACAAAACAAAACAAATTTTAAAAAGAAAAAAGAAAAGACAGATGTTGTGCTCGGCGTTTTTGTGTTTTGTTTGTTTTTTGACACTTTCTATAGTCCTGGATGTCTTGGAACTGACTAGGTAGATGACTCTGGCCTCAAACTCACAGAGAACCACCTACCTCTGCTGCAATCAAAGTTGGTCGATTCCACGTCTGGCTTATGCTCAGTTTTTATTTTTGTTTTCTTTTCTTTCTCTGTCTCTCTCTCTTTTGATATTTGCTTTGTTTCTTCACAAAGCTCAGGCAAGCATCAAACACTTGGCAATCCTCCTGCCTCAGTTTCGAATATGCTGGGGCTGATTGTGTCCACTTTAGGTCCTCAGAGTCCGAAGTGGTTTGCTGTGGAGGTTAGAATGCAAGTCCAGGCTCAGTGGTCCCTGGCTTGCCCTCTTGCAGGTCCGTGGAGCCCTCAGCAAAGGCGGCCCTGGAGAGGCGGAGGCGGCCAGGACGTGCCCGCTGCTGTGGCGGCTGCTCCAAGCGCTGGCGGCACTTCTGGGGCGCCCCAGTGACGGCCTTCCTGGGCAACGTGGTCAGCTACCTGCTGTTCCTGCTGCTGTTCGCACACGTGCTGCTGGTGGATTTCCAGCCTGCAGCGCCCGGTGCCTCCGAGCTGCTGCTGTACTTCTGGGCCTTCACGCTGCTCTGCGAGGAGCTGCGCCAGGGCCTGGGCGGCGGCTGGGGTAGCCTGGCCAGCGGCGGACCTGGGCCCGGCCGAGCGCCCCTGCGCCACCGTCTGCACCTCTACCTCGCAGATGCCTGGAACCAGTGCGATCTGCTGGCGCTCACCTGCTTCCTGCTGGGCGTTGGCTGCAGGTGAGTGAGCAGCCCCTGCTGGTGGGCGAGGGACTGGCAGGCAGAGTCGCCGGTGACGGGCTGCGGCTGGGCGCTGGCGCCCTGCCTAACCTTTGCAAGGCCCTGTTCCCTGTGACGGGCAGCCTCCGCCCCCTTTACAGAAACATTTCTCCGCAGGCATACCGAGAGGGAGGTTTCCTCCAGGCCTGTGAGGCTGAAACAGAGCAGCCTGGCATGAATAATGTATTCAAGCAGAAAGCAAGATAAGGCAGTTCAGCAAACTAATATTTCCGTGTGTCCCAGGCTTTATTTTGTGTAATGTATCCTCTGAGAATGCAGGGCCAAGGCCCTAGGCCCTGCGAGGGCAGGAAGGCCAGAGTCCAGAGTTTATTTGATACATTTTAGTAAGCGCCAGTTCCCAAGGGCTGAACAATCATTGTATCTTGGGAGGAGATACAATGTGACCTCCAGTCTAGCTGGTCAGTCATCCTTTAAGCCAGTGCCTTCCAGACAGACAGTTATATCGTTTCTATTTATTTCTCTTCTTCTTTTTCTTTTTTTTTTTTTTTTGGAGGGGTGGCGGGTGGCTTTGGGTTTTGGTTTTTCGAGACAGGGTTTCTCTGTGTAGCCTTGGCTGTCCTGAACTCGATTTGTAGACCTGGCTGGCCTTGAAGTCACATCTGCCTGCCTCTGCCTCCCGAGTGCTGGGATTAAAGGTGTGTGCTGTGCCACCGCACCCCGCTTCTAATTTTTATTGTTGCAAAAATAAATAAAAGTTTACACCCCTGGTTTAAAGTGAATGGGTCAAAGGGCACGTGGATCGGTTACATCATGGATTTCTGTCTAAATAGCTTGACCTGTTGCCTGCCTCCTGCCTGCCAGCAGGAGCCGAGAGCGTGAGGACAGGCGAGGCTATATTTGCTGCTTTAGTAACCGGAAGCGGTCAGTCAAATCGGATTCACAGCCTCTGTTAGTCTGACGCCTGTGAATGTTTTCACGTTTGCACCTCTGACCGCTTTTGCCCCCCCCCCCCCCTTAAATTTATGAGACAGTCTCACTCTGTGCCCAGGCTGGTGTGGAACTCCCTATATAGACCAGGCAGGCCTGTCTGCAGTTCCCAGAAACCCTCTGCCTCGGCCTCCCCGGTGCTGGGATTTTTAGGAGACTAAAGAAGGCCCAGTCAGAGGGCCCCTGCCTCTGCCTGAGGAGGCGGCCCTGGCCTGAGCCGCGCTCTCTCCTCTGCTTAGGCTGACCCCCGGGCTGTATGACTTGGGACGCACGGTCCTCTGCCTCGACTTCATGATCTTCACGCTGCGGCTGCTGCACATCTTCACGGTGAACAAGCAGCTGGGGCCCAAGATTGTCATCGTGAGCAAGATGGTGAGGCTCAGGAGGAGGGCCGGAGCAAGGTGTGAGAGAACGGGCCCTGGGGTGAGGGGTGGGGCCGGGAGTGAGGGGTGGGTGGGGCCGGGAGGGAGGGGTGGGGGGGGGCGGGAGGGGGGGGTGGGGCCGGGAGTGAGGGGCAGAACCTGGAGTGATGGCGGGGTCGGGGCTGTGGGGGTGGACACTGAGAGGGCCCCTTTGGCTTTCAGTGACTGGACGTGCATCTGAGGAGATCGGGGGTCTCTGAGGTGGCAGGGCAGGAAGGGACAGGGCTTTGAGGATGTGGAGCGTCTGAGGCAAGAAGGGTAGCCGGGGAGCGGGTAGGGGTGGAGCCACGGAGGAGAGGACGGGGTTGACTCAGCCCCGTCTTCCTGTGCTTCCAGATGAAGGACGTATTCTTCTTCCTCTTCTTCCTCTGCGTGTGGCTTGTGGCTTACGGGGTGGCCACAGAGGGGATCCTGAGGCCTCAGGACCGCGACCTACCGAGCATCCTGCGCCGGGTCTTCTACCGCCCGTATCTGCAGATCTTTGGACAAATTCCCCAGGGAGAAATGGACGGTAGGAAAGGGCTCTCCAGCCGAGCCTCGGTGTCTGTCGCTCTCGGCCTGTGTCCCCTGTTTGGATGTCTGCCTCCCTCCGCTCACACTCGTGTCCCCTCTGCAGTGGCTCTCATGAATCCAGGCAACTGCTCTGTGGAGCGGGGCTCCTGGGCTTCCCCGGAGGGGCGCGTCTCGGGCTCCTGCGTGTCCCAGTACGCCAACTGGCTGGTGGTGTTACTCCTCGTCGTCTTCTTGCTGGTGGCCAACATCCTGCTGCTCAATCTGCTCATCGCCATGTTCAGGTGTGCCCGGCCTCGCCACCCGGCCCTCTCCCAGCGCCAGGTTCTGACTTTCACCCAGTCCTGCCAGACCCATGCCTTTCTGCTGCTCTTTTTGGCACTGCTAAGGCAGAGTCTCGCTCTGTAGCCCCGTCTGATCTTGGAATTTAGGGTAACCTTGCCTCTGCAAGGCTGGAATCACACGCATGAGCCACCGCGGCGCTAAATGCTTTTACCTTTGATGACGTCCTTTGTTGCTTGTGTCTTTTATCGATGTGTGTGTGTGCACCGTGTGTGTGCAGTGTCAGCAGAGGTCAGGGCGGGCATTGGATCCTCTGGGACTGCTGCTGCTGGCATCTGTGAGCACCGTGTAGATGCTGGGAGCTGAATCTGGCTCCTTTGCAAGAGCAGCCGGTGCTCTCCCCCTTAGCTGAGCTGTCTCTCCAGACCAAGACCTCTTGCGGTCCCGTACAAGGGTCTGTTGAAAGTCGAGTCTGGAGACTTAATTCTAGGCTTTGTGCTAAGAGTTTGTTTTGGGTTTTAGCTCTTATTTGCAGATCATTGGCCCATTTGTAAGGACTTCAATCTCTGTCCTGGAGAGCAAAGGCACTGGGCTTAAGGTCCTTGTTAGAATCCAGCTGGGCTCACATGGGTGTGGTGAAGCAAGCTTGTTGTCCCAGCACTTAGAAGGTTGAGAAAGGAGGATCGGGAGCTTTGGCTACATGAAACACTATATTTAAAAAAATCAAACAAAGGCTGGAGAGGTGGCTCAGTGGTTAGGAACACTGGCTGCTCTTATAGAGAATCTGGGCTCCAGTCCCAGCACCCACACGGCAGGTCACAAGTGACTGTAATTGCAATTCCAGGGGGTCTGACATGCTCTTCTGGTGTCGGTGGGCACCGTGTACAGACATGCATGCAGGCAAAATAACTATACACATAAAAGCAAATAAACCTTAGCAAAAAATAAAAGCCAGAGCCAGGCATGGTGGTACACGCCTTTAATCCCAGCACTCAGAAAAGCAGAGGCAGTCAGATCACTGTGAGTTCAAGGACAGCCTGGTCTACGCAGTGAGTCCACTATAGCCAAGGCTACACAGAGAAACCCCGTCTCAAACAAAAATGATCAAGCAGCCATTGAATAATTTTGAAAACAACAAGGCCAGGATGGTGGGATGAAGGAGGGTTGGGGTGGGAAGGACTAACTTAGTGAAGCAGAAAAACATGAGTTTGATCCTCAGAACCCATGCAGACTTTCCATTGTTAGGTTATTGTAATCCGAGATTGGGAAGACAGTCCAGTGTAGTCAATTAACTTCTGGCAGTGAGGAACCCTGCTTCAAAGACGGGCAGCTTTCTGAGGACGACGCCGAGGTCATGTGCACTCACACATATGCGCCTGTACACATACAAGCCTGTTCACATGCATCACAGAAACATGCATCACATTAACAGCACTAGCAGCCCAGTCATGAGGACCAGAGACCCCAGCACTCACATAGTATGATGACAAATGGCTGGAGCTCCAGCTCCAAGGGATCTTTTACATCCTTTTCTGGTCTCCACAGGCACAAATTTCCTTCCTTCCTTCCTTCCTCCTTCCCTCCCTCCCTTCCTTCTTTCTTTCCTTCTTTCTCTTTCATATTTGCCAGCATGTTTGTTTGTATGTACGCCAGCCACATGATTGTGGCACTGGCAGAGCCCAGAAGAGGGCACTGGATCTTTTGGAATGGGAGTCAGAGACAATCGTGAGTGCTGGGAACCGAACGTGGGTCCTCTACAGGAGTCAAGTGCTGTTCACCGCCCATCTAATCCAATCCTATGACCAAGGTCCTTTATTGGCCTCCAATGACCCTTGACCTCTGTCCTCTACAGCTACACCTTCAGCAAAGTGCAAGGCAACAGCGACCTCTACTGGAAAGCACAGCGCTACAGCCTCATCCGGGAATTCCACTCGCGGCCTGCGCTGGCCCCGCCCCTTATCATCATCTCTCATGCGCGCCTCCTCATCAGGTGGCTGCGCAGACGTCATAGGGCCAATTTACCAGCCTCCCCACTCTACGAGCACTTCCGTGAGAAAGGAGCTTGGCCTACGAGGGGGCGGGACACGGGGGGCGGGGCAAGGGAGAAAGCAGCTGGGCGGAGCCAAGGCCCCTGGGGGCGGGGTCTGAAGAATTTGGTGGCTTTGGTGGGCCCACCCTTTGACTCTTGGGGCTTGGTCCGGCAGGTGTCTATCTCTCTAAGGAAGCAGAACGGAAGCTGCTGACTTGGGAGTCTGTGCACAAAGAGAACTTCCTATTGGCTCAAGCTCGTGACAAACGAGACAGTGACTCGGAGCGCCTGAAACGCACGTCTCAGAAGTGAGGCGGGGACCTGGCATGGGCAGGACTCCCGGGTAGGACGCGGTGACTTCAGCGGGCCGATGCTCTCTCTTTCTAGGGTGGACACCGCACTGAAGCAGCTGGGACAGATGAGAGAGTACGAGCGGCGGCTGAGGGGGCTGGAGAGAGAGGTGAGGACGTGGGCGCGGCAGGGATGCGAGCCCCGGCTTCCCTGCTCCTGCCTTGACGTGCCCCTGTCTTCCAGGTCCAACACTGTACTCGCGTCCTGAGTTGGGTGGCCGAGGCCCTTAGCCAATCTGCCTTGCTGCCTCCAGGATTGCCACCCCCTCCAACCTCACTTGGGTCCAAAGGTCAGTATGGTCCTGGGCTTCCTGTGTGCCCTGCTGTTGTCCGTGTCCTTTGCTTGCCTCTGCCTGTGTGTGGCTGTGTGTAGCTGGAGGGAGTGTGCATGCCTGTGGAGGCCTGGGCTGACGATGTCTGTTGCCTTCCTCTGTCTCTACCTCATTCTTTGAAACAGGATCTGTCCCTGGGCCCAGGATTCTCCAGCTGGCTTGGGCCAGCTGGCCTGGGAGCCCTGGGGAAATCCATCTGAATCTGTCCCACTCCCCTGGCTTTTGAAGTGGGTGCCCCGTTCACCCTAGGGTGCCACCGTACCTGGCTTTTTTACATCTCTCATGCTGTGATGAAACACCAACCGAGAGCACCTTAGGGGAGGAAGGATTTGCCTGGCTTGCCCTTGCAGGCTCCGGTCCACCAGTGAGGACCAGGAACTTGAAGGTTCTGACCATCGCAGCATTACCTCTAACCAGAACTCACTCACAGCCCAAGAAATGCATGAGAATCCACAGAGGAATGCTCGCAGGATCGCAGAGGGTTTCACCTAGCTATACAGTTCAGGACTCCTGACCCCAGGAAAAAGTACTGTCCACAGAGAGCTGGGCCTTCCTGCACCCGTTATCAGGCCGGACCCCCACAGACACCACGGCTCAGTTTGATCTAAGCAATTTCGACTCTTCATCTCAATGAGTCCGGGCTGTCCCCAGCTGACAGAGCTAACCAGGACAAATCTGAGCTCAGGCCTCATGCTTGCATGACAGGCCCTGCCAACCCCAACCGAGGGTCTCCCCAGCGCTGTTTCTTCTTGCTGCTCTCCCATTTCCCCACTCATCACCTGCTGTCCTGTCTCTTCCAGAGTGAGTGTTCCTGGTGGATCTCTAAGTGTTTGCATCCTTAGAGCTGGGCCCAGCCTGCCTCAACCTACCCACCCGGAGGCCTTATCTTCACCATGTGCCCCATGCTCACGGGTTGCTGTCCCAACAAACTCAGAGTGTCACCGCAGGAACCCCAGCAGGCCTGGCTCCTCCCAGAGGCAGCCTCACCTTGGGTGGCTCAAGCTCTGAGCTGTCAATGTTGGCCCCTTTTTGGGGCCAGCCACAAGCAGAGGAGGCCAGAGGGCCCTGGGTGCTGCAGGGGCCACAGGACCTATCCACAGCTTCCCCACAGTGGGGAAATAAAACCATTTGATGGAATTCACAGCGCATTCTTGACTTGTGTGGGACAGGTGACTGGAGGCTGGAGGGTCAGTGGCTGAGGTAGGCTGGGGATGTGGGGTCCTTGATGTTTGTTTTGGTTTTGCTCTCCTTCGGCTGCCTGGTCTGTTCCTCCTGCAGACCACTGCACCTGCCAACCTAGATCCGGCCCCCCTTGTACAGCCTTGTTTGGATGGCCCTCCCTCAGACAGGGACCGTCTGGGCCCTGCTCCTTTCCCGTGGGAGCGCCACAGGGTGATAATAAGAGAGTCTCGGGGAGGGTGGGCGCCGCTCTCATCTGCTCTGGCAACACGCAAACAGACGGTGCAGATTTGAGTAGATAAATGCATATGTGTCTTTAAAAAGTCTAATTAGTGGAAAATTGCAGGCCGCACTCACACGGGGGTTGAGGCAAATCCACATCGTTACACATTGCAATTTAACTAAATAACCCATAACAAACTAAGCCGGTAATGACAAGGCTGAACTGACAGCAATTATTAGTTAAATAGCGGGAAAGCCACCAGCAGCCGACACATCCAAATATCAACACCAAAACATCCTCCAAGCTGGAGGGGCTCCAGCCATCTGCCTCCCTGGGTGCGGAGTCATGTTGGAACATGGCCAAGTGTGCGACAAGCAGGCTCTCCCGGGAAATGCTGCGTCCATTCCACCAACCCAAATACTGAGAAGGGGCCGGCTCCAGCACTCGCCAGCAGCTGGCCTTGTGGTGACTGGCTCATGGACACCAACGCTTCCTGACACGCGGCGAGGCCAGACCCATTTTTCTTTGGTGCTAGAAATTTAGATTTTTTTTAAATTCCACTTTTTATCGTGTGTGTGGGAGGAGGCACACACACACACACACACACACACACGCACACACATACTCCCAAGTATGTGGGACACATGCATGCCAGATTAGAGTGACATCTTGGGGGACTAATTTTTTTTTCCTGCTACCATGTGCTTCCTGAGATGAAACTCAGGCTGCAGCAAGCATGGTCCAGCACTGGGTAGTGCCCACCCAGCCCCTCACTCCCTGGGGGTTCCTAGACCGGAGCCCGCCACTGGTTGCTCCTCTAGTCTCTCCGGACTCTAGGGAGCTGCTCTAGCTAGTCCCAGACCTCCCCGAGCCTTTTTTTGATCTAGGAACTAGCATATCTCACTGGCAGAAATGGCACTCCAGATGGCTAAAGTTGGCTGGGGGTTCCTTTCGCAAGAATCCTTTAAACCCAGCCCAGCCCGGAGCTTTCATTGTTTCAGTACTCCAGGAGCCTGGGAGTCCCCGTCTCTTGGAACTTTGGGAACCAGCATTAATGGAGCCATTTCCTGAACTGCGAATCGGAGAGCCCCCTGGGCCTGACCCTGGAGTCGTTGAGTCTTGCGGCAGCATCTACAACAGCACACACTAACTTCTAGACTAACTTCATCAACCCCCAGGCCTGGCTGTGTAGACGAAAAGCGTGTAAGTTCAGTGGTTCTCTGGGCTAGGAAGGATGGAAGCCTGCCCAGGATCTAGCAGACAAGTGGAGGGCGTGGTGAGAAGCAAGGGTCTGTATTGGTTACAAAAGTATGGACAGAAGCAACGGAGGAGGGGTTTGTTTAGGCTCATGATTTCAGGGAATACGGTCCACCATGGCATGGGGCGGCACGGTTCTAGTGCGTGTGTGGTGTTAGCCTGGCACATCATGGCTTACTAGGAAGCAGAGATACACTGGAAACAGGGCTAGGCTCAACGTCTCACCTCCAGCAACCTGCTTCCTGTAGTCAGCGTTTTCATCACCAAAAAGTTTCACACTCTCCCCAAGCAGCGCCACCCGTTGGAGGACAAGTGTGCAAGCACATGAACACGTCTCACACCCAAACCCAAGGAGCTCAGGACAGAATGGCAGCATTAGCGTTGAGTGCTCTTGCTTGACACCTCCTGGGGCTAAGCTGGTTACAGGGGCGGAACCTGAGGTGGGCGGGGCCTGTGGTGTGCAGAGGGACCGAAGGACAGGGAGCCTTTTCCTTAGCGCTGGCGGGTCCTGGCACCGCCTTGGTGCCCAGAGAAGGAAGTTCAGCACGATCTTCACCGTCCTGTCATGCTGGCCCCATCCGTGCTTCGTTTGATGGCTGAAGCTGTGGTTACTGACTCTAGGCCTGCATTTCCCAAGCAGGGAAAACACCCGAGCCCAACTCCTGAGGCTCACTGTGGACAACGAATGCCCGTGGATCCTCTGGGCTTTTCATTGCCATGGAAGCATGGCGTGAACGGCTGTCACAGAAGCTTCCATTTCCTGGGCACCAAGGGATCCTCCTGCTCAGGAGCTGCTCTCCGCCTCCAGGCTACCGGAAAAACCTGTAGCCCCACAGGGAGGAAGAAAAGGACGGCTTTGGTGGCGTTGCCTTCAGGGCTCCTCAGATGCCACGCTCCGTCGCCACAGCGCCACCTGCCGGAGGCAGTCGCAAGCACATGCGGTTGGAGATGGGCCTCGTCCTCGCACCGACAGGCTGGAGCCGCCAGACTCCCCGCTTCACTCCCCCATTTCAGGGTGACTACTAACAGGCCGGGAACGGCTAAGTTTAAATTCTGTGTTCAAGAACTCACCCTGTCTGGTCCTCGGACTATTTCAGGGTGTTTGTTTCATGTTTTCATTTATTTATGAGACAAGCTCAGGCTGCCTCTAACTCACGACCCTTCTTCAGCCTGCGAAGAGCTGGGATTACAGGCCAAACGCTTTCACCATCCCACACTCAGCTCATCTCCGTTTTCCACGAAAAAGTAGCAACTATCCCTTTGCCCCTTTGAATACAACCTCAGCCACCCCCCTCCCCACCCGGTTCCCACATTGCTAGAAGTAATAATGGCTGGTCCCTCAAGTCACAGACACCCCTCTCCCCTTGGACCACGGGTTGGGGGGACTGTAGTAAGGCCTGATGTGTCCGCTAGGTGGCAGCAACCACCAGAGCCATTAAATGTGTCTCAGAACTGAGCACAACTAGCAACAGATGGGTGAAAACTCCTCTGAGAAGGCCCAGCAGCTCCACCGCCTCAGCTCTGAGTCAGGCAGCTTGGGCATTTGGCCGGTATGTACAGCCGACCAGGAAACGTCATTTCTTCTCGGTGTGTCTTGCATAGTAACTGAGACCAAAGCAGAGGAGGAGATACACACTGTGTGAGCATTTAAGACCCTGCTGCCTAGCTTTTCTTGGGTCTGACGGACCGTTATCCTCTGAACAGCCTGACAAAGAAGTTGGTTTGGCCTACTGTGGTGTCACAGCCCTGTAGTCACAGCCCTCAGGGGCTGACACAAATTAGTCTGGGCTGTAGAATGAACTCAAGGCTGGCCTGGGCAACTTCGTGAGACTGTCTCAAGGCGACAACAAAACAAGTAAGCCTGCAATGTGGCTCAGGGACAGAGTTCCTGCCTGGAGTGCCCCAGTAAGGGGCTGGGGGTGGCTCAGGAGTTGAGCCCTTGGTTAGCATGAGCAAGACATTCAGTCAGTCCACACCCATCAGACACACACACACACACACACGACTGGACTCTGGTCCAGTCGGTTTTCCTGAGACTCACATGATTCTAGATCAGCAAATGATTGACTGGGATAAATTTGGTCATTGGCCTGTTTTTTTTCTGGCCCACAAGCTAAAATTTATATTTAAAGAGAGTTCTATATATGCTGAATGTGAATATACAGTAGAGGCCATATGTCCTGCAAAGCTCCAAATGTTATCCTGGCATTCAGGAGGACAGAGAGCAACTCGTGCTCAGCCAGCACTGCTCGCGTGGGGGCGTTCACAGCCTGATAAACAGGGTACAGCCTCCAACAGCCAACGTGGAGTGACCATCTCCCTAGGTCATGTGCGTGTGCAGAGAAGCAGACCCATACCTGTGTGCGCTGAGGGAACAGTGATGACATCAAAGGTGCGCACAGAGGTCACGGGTGGTGGAGTCTCTCCAGCGACCTTTGGGGTCTGAATCTTAGCCCTTTGGGGAGATGGCTGAGGTCAACACGTGGGTCAGCCTTATCCTGTTGCTGGGATCCCTGTCCAGCACTAATTAAATGCTGAATTAGGGGCTGGAGAGATGACTCAGAGGTTAAAAGCACTGGATGCTCTTTCAGAAGATCCTGGTTCGATTCCCAGCACCCACAAGGCAGCTCGCAACAATCTGTGACTCCACTTCCCTGGCATCTGATGCACACTTCTGGACTTTTCTGGCGCATGGCACACAGACATACACACAGACAAAACGTTCATGGACATAACATAAAAAACTACAACTATTCCATTACTCAGGGGTCCTGTTGCTGCAATGCGATATGGAGCCAAAGCAGCTTAAGGACAGGAAACCCAGTTTGTCCGTACACAGTCCGTTTTGCTGGGGCAATCACGTGTCAGGAGCGGGAGGCAGCTGGCCACCTTTGCGTCCACGGGAAGCACAGCGTGGGAATGCTGGAAAGCAGTTCGCTTTCCCCTTTTTATTCAGTCTGAGACATCTGTTCATAGAATGACACCACCAACATTTGGGGTGTGAAAGCCCTGTGTACTGCCCTTGGTTAAGACTTTCCCTTTAAAGGCAGGCACAGTGGTAATCCCACACCTGTAATCCCAGCACTCGGGGCCAGAGGCAGGCAGATCTCTGTGAGTTCAAAGCCAGTCTGGTCTACAGAAAGAGTCCAGGCTGTGGAAACCCTGTCTCAAAAAACCAAAAGTAAATAAATAATAAAAATAAAAAAGACCTTCCCCTTAACTGAGGCACATCTGGGCGGGGGTGGGGTGGGGATGGCGTGGGGGACGCAGCCTTCACAGGTGTCAGGCGGGGAATGGATTGTGAAGTGGTGAGAATGAAAACTCGGTTCCAAGTTAACTTCATCTACCTGGATCAGCCGGGAATGAACCCCAGCCCTTTGCAGAAGCAGCAAGAGATCTAAACCACTCATCCGGCTTTCCAGACCAGGAACTTAACTCTGACCCATTTCTAGTTTACGGACCACGCTCATTTCAATGGCCACAACACATCTTTTTTCCTGAGACAGGGTTTCTCTGTGGAGCCCTGGTTGTCCTGGAACTCACTCTGTAGACCAGGCTGGCCTCGAACTCACAGAGATCCCAGCCTCCCAAGTGCTGGGATTGAAGACAACCCCCCCCCCCCCATCTCTGAAGGGCTTTTTCGATGGCTCCTGATGGCTCCTCGCAGGTAAGGTCAGCTGACCTCCCATCCCCAGCAGGCCTCAGGGATCCAGAATGCAGCCCTGAGCGCTTCTGGGTCAAGCTGAGTGAGTGTCGCTTCTCCATGGAGGGACTTCTCCGTGTGTTAGACACGCCCCCTTCAACCAGCAAAAACACTCCAAAGTCAGGTTAAACTCATGCTTAACTCTCAGGATCTTTAGAGGCTGGAGAGATGGCTCAGCATGGGAGAGCCATGGGGCCCACCCACACTTCTCGAGGGGACCGAGCGCACACATGGTTCCGTGTATGTGTTGTTCCTGTGAACACGACACTCACAGGCACAAGCCAATCTTTTAAAAAAGAGGGAATTCAGGGCGCCTTGTTTTTCACTATTTTTATTTTTTAAATATTAGTTAACTTTGTATCCCAACTGTAGCCTGATCCCTCATTCCCTCCCAATACCACCCTCCCTCCCGTTTTTCACTATTTTAACTTAATGAAAAAAAAAAAAAAAAAAAGAAGAAGGTATGTGTGTGTTATGCCATGGGTTTTCTAGTATGTGGGAACGTGTTTCCTTGGAAAGCGTAAACCAGTGATGGAGATGGGACCACAGGGAAAGGTCTGTGCCCCAGGAGCTGCCGAGTACCGGGCTCTCCTCCCATTAGGAGCTAGGTGCTCACAGAGGGCTGTACACCAGCTGTGGGTCTGGCTCCTTGAGTTCTTGGTGAGAGCAGGGCCGTGGACTGGGGAGGGGGGGCAGCATGGTGGTCGGTGTCAGGTTAGACCTTAGAAGGTGCTGCTGTTGCAGCGTCCACCAGCTTCCGCTGTGTCCTCAGAGCAGCAGGGGCCCGGCTCCCCCGCTGCCCCGGAAGTGCACGCGTGTGTGAGAGAATGCTGTGGCTCACTCTGGAGCTGTCCACCTCATTTATTGACAGACAACATTGCTATCTTGAGCCCATCATCCCTGGCCAGCCACACTGCAGACAGGCATGACGGCCAGCCAGCCAGGGCTAGAGGGAGCACTGCGTCTCTCAGTCACTGGGGCTGGGCTGGATGCCCATCTGAGCATGCATATCACGGACAGCGGGGTGGCCCTGGGCCTGCCCTGGGCGCAGTGTCCGTGCTGCTAGAGGACGGGCTTCTGAGTTGTCCATGTCCATCTGAGGCCCACAGGGCCACCCCAGAAGTTTGGGCTGGGTTCCGGCACGCCAGATTTCTGCTTTCCATGGGGCAGGTGCTGGCTTGGTGCGCATCACCAGTTACCAGAGACAGGGGACCCGACCCGACTGCCGTCAAGCAGGGCTCTCACAGGCCTTCCCTCAGAGCCACAGGCCCCTCCCTCTGTCCGGGGCTGTGGAAGCCAAGACGGCCTGCTGGGAGGACAGTGGGCCTTGGTGCTTCAGGGAGAGATGGGAGCGAGCCGCCGGGGCAGCTGAAGGTGGAGTAGCAATCACTGTCCTGTTTTCTCAGCATTTTTGGGGGGTGGATGAATGAGGCCTCTGGGGTGCTCCTGCCTTGGAATGAAGACTTGGATCTGTTCAGGCTTCTGAGGGTGGACCTCTTCAGGTGTTGCAAGGGCCACTGGGTGGCCCTGTTGGGCTCCGGCACCATCCTTTTGGGGGACACGGGGTCTTCTAAGAGCTCACAGCTGCTCTCGTCCAGGTACCACCAGTGCTGGAGCGGGTACACGGGGATGGGCAGCAGCGCCAGGAGACTGAGGAAGGTGACCCAGCTCAGGGTCACCTTCGGGTAAGGTTGCTTCACTTCTTGACTCTGGGAACAGGGACGGAGGGGCTCAGGGGGGGGCGCAGTGTCCCCAGGTCCCCCAGGGGAGAATATACAGGGTGAGGGCTCAGTCTGGGTGCTCTGTCTACAGGGTTCCCCAAGCCCCTGGGGGGTAGGAGGTGCAGGATGGGGGCCTGAGTCTATGTGCTTGGTTTGGGGTCCCCATGGGCAGGAGCTATACCACGCTGTTATTCCAGGTGATGTAGTAGAGGGATTCACTGTGGTAGAGATTCAGGAAGTAGATAGTGAACAGGGCTAGCAGCGTGGGCATGGTCACGTAGCTCCACAGGAAGGAGAAGGGTGCCCACACCAGGCGGCCCAGCTGGCCGAACATCTCAGCCCTGAACCTGGGGGAAGGAGGGAACTGTCAGGACATCTGGGGCCTAGACACGGGGAGACCTTCCCTCCCTGCTTCTCTCAGATGACCCTGATGCTTGGTATGGGGACCAGGCCCTCCCTGGATCTGGCCCATGTTGTCACCCCATGAGAATTGTTTAGTCCATGGGCCTGTGCCACCACCACAGCCCCTGGGCCTCCAGGGCACTGGACACTGCGTCTTCCTGTAGGAGCTGACCTGCCGTCTGTCTGAGGACCCACAGAGGCCTAGGATGGACTTGAAAGCTAAGCACCCCTCCCCCTGGGATTGGAAATCACCTCTTGGCTCCATAGACCCAAGCTAGAGAAAAGTTCTGGAACACCACGATGATGACGAGGACCATAGGGACCAGGTGCTCATCAATCAGGAACACCAAGTAGCTGCCAGGGCGGCTGGTGAAGACGAGGCTGCCCAGAAGTCCTCCCAAGCAGACAACCACTAAGGGTGGAAATGGTTTGGGCTACACTGGGGTACGGGGAGCGCGGACGGCGGACACTGGGGTGTGGTGAGCGTGGGGAGGGCTCCAGGGCAGGGCTCTGTACCTGGTACCAGCTTGGGGTACTTTGTGAAGGTGGAGATGCTGTGCTGCAGAGGAAGCATGATGCCCTGCAGGAGCGTTATCATGGTGCTCAGGCTCATGATAACCAGAGCCAGGAAGAAGATGATGGCCCAGAAGGCGGAGCCGGGAAACAGTGAGACAGCCTGAGAGAAGACCACGTATGACAGGCCGGGACCCTCCATGAACTGTGGGAGGAGAAGAGCTCTGAGACAGTGCAGAATCTGGATGGGATGGGATGGTGCAGTACTTGATTATTAAGGTCTGTCATGGACAGAAACATAGACACCCAGCATGGAAGTTGGAGGTGAAAGTGTTGAAAGGTGGCCTTCCTTGGCTGTGTGACCTGGGTGACCTCCAGTTCCTGGGTCCCCTGATGTGAGCCACGATATAGCTGTAGCACACTGGTGTAGTGGCACATTGCCCAGTGCGAGGCTGCCAGGCCAGGCCTCCCTGACACACACACACCTTCTCCTTCTGCACCAGGATGCTGCACGGCAGGGAGAAGTGGACCACCTCCTGCTGGATCTGCATGGGAAGATGGCTGATCCAGTCCAGGTACTCCAGTGGGGGTCTGTGGACGATGTCTTTGGGAGGCCAGGCAGCCTGGGACAGCACACCTTTGGCTATGAGGCTGACCAGATTGGAGACACTCCTGACAGGGTGGGAAGGAAAGAAGACAGGTGGTGAAAAGGCTGGCTCATCAGCAATCAACAGCCAAGGAGAATGAGGATCAAGTGTGGTGAGATTGTCCAAGAGGCATGCTGTTGTGGCTCTGGCAGTCCACGGTTGAGGGGCCTCACTTGTGAGGGCCTCATTTTGCTGGTTAGGACTCAGCAGGGTCCTGACATTGCACAGGGAATTGTGTGCCCATACAGAACCAACTTGCTAGCTCTCAGATCACTTCCTGTTTGTTTGTTTGTTTCAGTGGTTTTTGGTTTTTGTTTTATTTGTCTGTTGGTTTTTCAGAAGGGTTTCTCTCTGTAGCCCTGGTTGTCCTGGAACTCACTCTGTGGACCAGGCTGGCCTTGAACTCAAGAGATTAGCCTGCCTCTGCCTCTGCTTCTCTGCCTCTGTCTGCCTCTATCTCCCTCTTTGCCCCTCTGCGCCTGCCTTTGTCTCCTGAGTACTGGGATGAAAGGTGTGTGCTACCACTGCCTGGCTTTTTTTTTTTTTTTTTTAACTTAAAGAGTAAAAGAAAACAAAACAGTGGCCTAGCAGACACTGTTCTTGCAGTGTCTGTTCTGAGTTTTGTTCCCAGCAACCAGATAACAGCTCACAGAAGTCTCCAAGCCAGCTCAAGGGGCTCTAATGCCCTTCTCTGGCTTCCCTTGGCATGCGAGTGGAGCACAAAAACTCATGTAGGGCACAAATACACACAAAGATTTTTTTCCTTTCCGTGTGTGTGTGTGTGTGTGTGTGTGTGTGTGTGTGTGTTGTGTGTTTTTCGAGACAGGGTTTCACGGTGTAGCTTTAGCTGTTCTGGAACTCACTCTGTAGACCCGGCTGGCCTCAAACTCACAGAGATCTGCCTGCCTCTTCCTCCCAAGTGCTGGGATTAAAGGTGAGCTCCACCACTGCCCAGCTATAAAGAAAGATTTTCGAAGAATTGTTTTGAGACAGTGTGTCAGTATACAACCATACTGACCTGGAACTTGCTATGTTGTCCAGGCTGGCCTGGGACTCACAAAGATTTGCCTGCTTTTGCCTCCTGAGTCTGAAACTAAAGGCATGTGCCACTATGCACAACTGTTTTATTTATTTTTAAATAAACGTAATAATAGTATTTAAAGTTATATACATGTGGGTGCTTTGCCCGCATGTATGGCTGTATAGCACATACATGCCTGGTGCCTAAGGAGGCCAGTAAAGGGTGTTTGATCCCCTGATAATGGAGTCACAGAAGATTGAAGCCACTATGTGGGTTTTAGGAATTGAACCCAGGTCTTCTGACAAAGCACTTTTTTTTTTTGTTTTGTTTTGTTTTTTGTTTCTCTGTGTAGTCTCGGCTGTCCTGGACTCACTTTGTAGACCAGGCTGGCCTTGAACTCACAGAGATCACTTGCCTCTGCCTCCCTGAGTGCTGGGATTACAGGCGTGCACCACCATGCCTGGCTACAGCTGTCATTCTTAACTACTGAGCCAGTGGTTTTCAACCTGTGGATCGAAATCCCTTTGGGGGTGAAAGGACCCTTTCACACCAGTTCCCCAAGACCATCAGAAAACACAGATATTTACGTTATGATTCCTAACAGTAGTAAATTTAGTTACCAAGTAGCAACAACAATTTTATGGTTGGGGTGGGCACAACTTGAGGGACTACCAAAGTTCAAAGCATCAGAAAGGCGGAGAGCCACTGCTAACTGAGCCATTATCTCCTCTTTTTTGTTGGTGCTATTTTGTTTTTTCAAAACAAAGTTTCTCTGTGTGTGGCCCTGGCTGGCCTGAACTCACAGTGAGCTGCCCGCCTTGGCTCCTGAGGGCTGGGATTAAAATCAATTAAAACCACTGCCCCAATCACTTCTTCTTATAAAGACACTAATTGTCTCATGAGAACCTCATCCCAGAGACCTCTTCTAATTATAACTGATGCTCTCAAGCATCGGCCTCTAAACTTTGGGGAGTAAGTGCCTAGCACACGGAGCAGTGTGTGAAACTGAAACAACAGCAGTTAAGCCCTGCCCTTTTCAGTAGTGCCCAATATTCCATGAGTTGGATAGCTGTGTTGAAAATTTTTAAATGAAATCTTATGTGCTAGGATTTCAGACTGCAACTACACAGTCACCTATGAGTGAGACAAGGGTCAGTCACCATTTGGTCACTGTGAACAAAGCTGTGACTCAGAGGCTTGCCATGAAGGGGGCAGTGGGGTCCCAGCGTGGGCGTGGGTTCACCTGGAGGAGTGCTCGTCTCCAAAGGTTCTGTCCTACACACCTGGCAAAAAGCGCGTGGCTTCTCGTGGCTTCCCGGTGTGCTGACTCTCAGCTTCAGCCACCCAGCTAACAGTAACCCCGGCAGGCTCCAGGCTCGGCAGTGCGTGGCCACATGCAGCTCTCACATCAAGCTGCCGATTGTGGCGCACGCCTGTCAGCTCAGCACTCAGGAGGCCAAGACAGGGGATCACAACTTCAAGGTCAGTCTCAGCTACCTGGACAGGTCAAGGCCAGCACTGGCCCCCTCAGACCCTGCCTGAGTCTGGCCAATGATGTAGATCACCTGTCATACAAAGCCAAGTACGGCCACTGGAACCACACCAGGGAAACAACCTGATCGCACACTCGCCTCCACATGGGGCACATATGTACCAAGCCGGTAGACAGACAAAAGGTTGCTGCGGCACCAGGGGCTGCACTTATAGATGGCCGTAAACCACCACGTGGGCACTCTGCATTGAACTCAGGTCCTCTGCAAGTACAGCCAGTGTCCCTGTTTTCTTATTTTTGTTTTTTTGAGGCAGGGTTTCTCTCTGTAGCCCTGACTGTCTCAGAACTCACTCTGAAGACCAGACTAGTCTTGAACTCAGAGATCGGGCTTCCCAATGCTGGGATTAAAAGTGTGCTCCACCACTGCCTGCTGTAGCTAATGTTCTTAACCACTGAGGAAATCTCTCCAGTCCTGGCACACATCTTTAATTCCAGCACTTGGGAGGTAGAGGCAGGTGGATTATTATGAGTATGAGGCCAGCCTGGTCTACAGAGCAAGTTCCAGGACAGCTAGGGCTACACAGAGAAACCCTGTCAGAAAAGAGGAGGAGGAGGAAGAAAAAGAGAAGGAGAAAGGAAGAGGAAGGAGGGGGAAGAAGAAACAAGCAAACAAAACCCCAATGCCTGGCTACACCCACGACCAATAAGGCATAGCCCCCGGGACAAAGCTCAGACTCCAGTACTTTCTAAGACTTCCCAACTCAAACCTCCTATGCCAACAGCTGCCTCCGGAGGCTTGGCAAGCCATGACAGTAGACTTGTTGCTTAAATAGCAATTTGGAAGCGTTCCTTAACTTCATTTACATTTTCTGAGACTGTTTGCTTCCACTGGGCACTGGTGGATTCCCCGGTGGTTGTGGGCTATGAGGATAAGGGAGAGTGGGTGCCAGCGGGAGATCGGATTTGCAGGACTGTGGGGCTGAAGGACAGCTAAGGGGGTATGCCTCTGCCGCTAACTGCCAGCCTATGCCACTCACTTCTCAACACAGCTAGAGCCGCTGGTTGATGCCCAGAACCCCATCAAGAGGAAGATGATGGCTGTGCTCAGCAATGAGGTCACCAGGTTGACTATGACCACAAAGGACACCAACTTGATGTAGTTGTCACCTCTGGTCTGGTAGGAGGAAAAAGTGATGATGGTTCCCATGCCAAGGCCGAGGGAGTAGAGCACATGGCCTCCAGCCTGGCGCCACGTGTCCAGTGATGCCAAGATAGAGAGCTGTGGAAGACAGAGGCATTTGGAGCGGGTTCTCAGGTGAGGCGACCAGAGGGGTGGAGGCCGGGCAGAGGGAAAAAGACATACTGGGGGATGAAGTGGGAGGCCTTGGGGGAGGGGGTAAGGCAGAGAAGGGCTAGGGTCTGGAGCCCCATCCTCACCTCTGTGGCCACCAGGCGCCTAAGGCCAGCCATCGCGCCTTCCAGGAAGAGACTTCGGATGAAGAAGCAGAGGAGGAGGACGCAGGGGAAGAATATGGAGAAAATCAGCATCTGGCCAGGAAGTCAAGAGAAGCAGGGAGGAGGAAGACAGAGAAAACATTAGCAGGGGCTGAGAGGGTCAGTAGGAGGTGGGAGGTGGTGGGAAGGGGCAGGGGGCACAGGGAGTGAATGGGTGTCATGGGAGAGTGGTGGACAGTGCCTGCCTGAGGAATGGCACCCAAGGCTGACCTCTGACCTCCACAAGCTTGTGCATACATGCCCACCTGCATGCTCAGAGGCCATGACAGGAGCCAACAACACCCATCCCAATCCTGCACTCCCAAACACACAGCAATCATGTTCCTATCTCCAAAATCTTCTGTTTCTTTTCTTCCCTTTTACTCCGTCCTTCTACTCAGCCCTGCTAATTGGAGCACTACTAGCTCCAATTCCTCCCTGCTGTTCACCTTGTCTTTTGAGACGGGGTCTCACTGCCTGGGAGCATGCTGGTCAGACAAGTCTGACAGACTGTTGAGCTCCTGGGGTCCTCCTGTCTCCACCACCCAAGTTCTTAGATCACAAGTGTGTTATCACGTCTACTTTTTATGTGAGTGTTGGAGATTAGACTCAGGCCCACATGCTTCTAGGTCTTTCGTTTGTGTTTGAGACAGGGTTTCTCTGTGTAGCCCTGGCTGTCCTGAAACTCACTCTATAGGCCAGGGTGGCCTCCAACTCAGAGATCTGTCTGCCTCTGCCTCCCAAGCATGGGGATTAAAGGCGTGTGCCCCCAGCATCTACCTGGTCATGCTTCTGTGTCAAGCCATCTATCTCCCCAGCTCTTGATGACTAACCTGCATTGCCAACCTGACTCGATTTAGGATCTCCTAGGAGTTTGAGGCATGCCTCAGAGAATGTCTGAGAGGATTAGCCAGTCTGGAAAGACCTACCTTGAATGTACCTGTCTACACCTCTTGAGCTTAGGTAGCTGATGGAATGAAAGGGGGGAGGGGAGAAAGCCACCTGAGCATTAGCATGAGGCTGCCCTTGCTTACTGTTCTGTGGAGAGCTCAGGACATGTCAAGTCCCAACCAGATGTTTCTGGTGCCACGGGGCCACATGTTGCCAGCCTCCCCCCACCCCACACACACACAGAGTGGACAAAACACAAGCCAAAGACATCCCTTCTCCATGAAGTTGCTTCTTGTCAGGTCACAGTGATGGAAAGACTAATGAAAAGAGGCCACTTTCACACCGGGTCTAGTCCTAGTGGAGTCTATATTTGCAGGAATTATGTCAAGAATTAAGTGTGGGCTGGGCAGTGGTGGCACAGGCCTGTGATCCCAGTGCTTGAGAGAGGCAGAGACACAGGCGGATCTTTGTGAGTTCGAGGCCAGCCTGGTTTACAGAGTGAGTTCCAGGACAGCCAAAGCTACATAGAGAAACCCTGTCTTGAAAAAAAAAAAAAAAAAAGAATTAATTAAGTATGTTGTCCTCCAGGGACATGTGAGGGAGTCCATATGTTCACATGGACACAGAAACCAGAATGTGGAGGTGGAGGCAGCCACAGACACCTTGTATACTACAGATGGGACGCTAGAAAGGAAAACGGTTGAGCAGTTCGACAGGTGCATGGTGAAGCCCTGGGAGGTGAGGGCAGGGGCCCAGGGTGAGTCTAGGAGATGTGAGAGATAAGCCAAGTTTCTCATTGGTAGGACCCTTGCTGGGGACACAGTGGCTACACATGAGCCTGTCCCCTGGAGAGCTGGAGGCCTAAGGCTCGGCAGGAAGGTGGCCATTGGGACACTTACTAGCACTGAAATCCTTATCCTGGTAATCATGGTGACATAGAGGAGAATCCATGTGACAAAGAGGCACAGGGTAATGTCAAGGACCAGAACCTCAATCCCTTCTTCCAACTCCGTGGAGGTGAAGAGGGCGGTGTTGTACCAGAAATACTGGTAGGGCACTGTCCGAAGGCAGGCGAGGTCTGTGGAGGGTGGAGAAGCCCAGGTACTTACGGCCACCTCACGTGGTGGCTCCCCTGGCTCCTGCATCTTTCTCCGGCCCCTCTCCTCACCAGTCCTATTGTTGACCTTCTCAAAGCTGCAGTGTTCCCAGGATAGACGGTAATCAAACGAGTGGCCAAGGTAGAAGAGACTCCAGGACATCAAGGCGCTGTTGTACAAGCTCACCAAGATGCAAGCCTGGGGAGGACAAGGTGGCCTGAGGGGTGCCGCGGATGAGAGGGGACGGGGGGATCTGCGGCTCTGCCAGCCCCACCTACCAGTAAGCTGGAGTAGCCCACACCACTAAGACAGGGGACCAGCTGCTTCCAGGCCCGGATGTTGTCCATCCGCAGCCACTGCCCTATGATCATCTCCATGTACATGAGGGGGATCCCCAGCAGCAGCAGCAGGAGGACATACAACAGCAGAAAGCTTCCTGCAGAGATGTGGGGGCTTGCTCAGGCGGCCGGAGTCCCTCACCCTTCACACCCTTCCTCATCTCCTCCCTGTTCCCTACCTCCCATGTCCCTCCCCTAGACCCCCTCCCCTTCTATCTGACCCTAGCCTGTCAGGTCTCATCAGGACTGGCTGGATCCTCTTTCTCTGTGGCCAAGTCAGGCCACCTCGCCAGGAGAATGTGATCAAAGAGCCAGCCACTGAGTCCGTGTCAGAGACTGCCCCTGCTCTCCATACTAGCCCTGGGGAATCTTGACCCCCCAATTCCTTAACCTCGGAGTATAGCCCCTGGGCCTCACCTCCTCCGTTGCGGTGGCACAGGTATGGGAAGCGCCATATGCTGCCCAGTCCGATGGAAAAGGCCACTAGGATGAGGAGGTTCTCTGTTTTCTTGGCCTGGAAGTAGTTGGGGATCTTGGTAACACGAACCTCTTTGGTCTTGAAACCCCAGGACAGAGATGTGGGATTGATGCTCTTCTTCCTGGTTGAGGGTTCTTCCTCCATAGATTCTTCCTTCTTAGCCCTGGGAAATGCTTCAAAGGGTTGATCCATGGGCTTCTTTTCACTAGCTCAAATCCCAAAGGGGTCTTGAGTCACCAAACCAGCAGACTGTAGGGGTCAGCTTCTGTGTAGAACATCGTGAGGTGAGAACAGAAAGTGAAGGGCAGAGAGCATTTGATTTGTAACAAATCATCATGGCAGGGGACATAGCCAAGCCTGTAGATATCTGTTGCCAAACCTGATGACCTCAGTTCAATCCTCAGGACCCACATGGTGGAAGGGGAAAACCAACCCTGAAAGCTATGCTCTGACCTCCACATATGCTCAGTGGCACACACAGACATACACCACAATAAATAAATATTAAAAAAAAATAATAATACATCGGGGGCTGGAGAGATGGCTCAGATGTTAAGAGTACTGGCTGCTCTTTTATAGGTCGTGAGTTCGATTCTCAGTAACCACATGGTGGCTCACAACCATCTATAAAGAGATCTGGGTCTCTCTTCTGTTGTGCAGGTGTACACGCAGGCACAACATGTACATGATAAATAAATAAATCTTTAAGAAAACGTACATCTTGGATGTTTGGTTTCACCCAGCTTTGGATCCCATGATATATCTGTACTGAGGCGGAGTCTCATTAGCTTGGGTTGGTTCGAGCACCCCACGTAGCTGGGGATGGCTTTAAGTTCCTCATCTTCCTGCCTCCACCTCCGAGGTCTGAGGGGACAGGGCCTCCATGCTAGGTTTTGCACTGTTTTACAGTGTATATAGGCACTAAATAAACCGCTTGTGAAAAGGCCACGTGCTTGAACATGTCATTATGCCTCAGAAAATACACAAAAAGTACACATTTTCCAGTGCTCACGCAGTGTACCAACACTATTTGGGGGCTGGAGATGGTGTGTCAGCCACTAAAAATGCAGACTGCTCTTGCAACAGGCCCAAGTTCAGTGCCCAGAACCCACCGTGGGTGACTCACAACCATCTGTAACTCCAGCTCCAGGGGAACTGACACCCTCCTTCTGTCCTCTGCAGGCACCTGAACTCATGTGTACACACCCATACACACACACACACACACAGTTTAAAACAAGAGTTAATGTCAAACAATGAAAACACCTGTTTTTTCTCTTTTGTGTATGTTCATGTGTGTATGTAGAGGTCAGAGTTAAACACCAGATGTCTTCCGCGGTCATGCTCCATCCTGCTTTTTCAGAGAAGTCTAGCACAACCTAGCGTTCATATTTTGGCTAACTTGGCTAGTGAACCTGTCTCCAGCTCCCAGCCTGGGGTTACAGATACTTGCCCGCGTCAGCAGGCTCAGTCAGCAGGCTCTTACGTGGGTGCTGGGCAGTAAACTCAGGCCTTGATGTTCCTCTAGTAAGTACTTGACACACTGAGCCCTCTCTCCATGGTTTTAGGACAACACTTCACACATTAACACCCTCCTAGTACCAGAATAGCAGAGTCCTAATTTACACATGCACACAGTGGTGGATCTGGATGTGCCTAGTGCGGGTACTGGGATCCCAGCTCCCAGGCTCTCATTAGGACACCCCTGTCTTCTGTGGGGAGAGTGTAGCCAGCATCCTCTTTGGAAACAGAGCAGATGTCCTGCAAGGTTTGAGCATGTGGCCTGAGAAGGAAGAGTGCCGTTTGCTAGGTGGGGTGGTTCCTGGTTGGTTTCATTAATTGTGTGTGTGTAGGGGGTGCTATAGGTCCCTGTGAAGGCCAGAAGAGAGCACTGGGTCTCCTGGAGCTAAAGCTATAGATTCCTGTGAGTGCCTCTGACTGTAGGACGCCCTCTGGGCTGCTAAACTCTGTCCCTCCAGCTGATGGGTGGACTCTTGAAGTTTTAGTTTAACTAGGTTCAAGGTCTGTATGCACTTAAAAGGTACCATGATTTTATCTGGATGTGATGACACACCAGTCATCCCAGAAATCTCCAGGCAGACCCAGGAGGATCAAGAATTCCAGGCCAAGTTGGGATACACAGTAATACTTTGTCTTAAGAGTATAAAAAAAAAAAATCAAAACAAAATTCCCACCAACAAATCCATGCTTTTAAGTGTTTGCTCCTCCTACGTTTTGGAAGGGGACACAGCTGAGATTATACATTTATAGCACATGACCTTTTATTTTGTAACAGCAGGAATGGAGAAACTCTTGTTATAATATGTGGATATTATACACAGAAAACAAGCCTATGTATTAATCTCTATACACACTATATGGATTTCTTATACATTCTATATATTTTTCTTCTATTATACCGTGAGTAGTTTCCTATGCCATATTTATTTATCATTTTGTTTCACGAGACAGGGTCTCTCTATGTAGCCTTGGCTGTCCTGGAACTTGCTAGGTAGAGCAAGTTGGCCTCTAAATCCCAGAGTAACATGCCTGCCTCTGCCTCCTGCGTGCGGGGATTAAAGGAGTGGGCCTACTTATTGAGGCATGGTCTCACTGTGTAGCTCTGTCTGTCTTGGACCTCGCTATGTCGATCAAGCTGGTTTCCAACTCAAGACATCCTCCTGCCTCTGTGTCCGCAGTGTTGGGATTAAAGGAGTGCGCCGCCACGCCCAGCCTAAAAACATGATTTTAAACAGTTGCTCACTATCCCAGAGTATTTACAGAAATCTGCTGGTACCGTTTGCCGGTCTTCTGAGACGGAGACAGCCCCGCCTACAGCATCCTGACGGGCGTCCCCCGGGCCGGAAGAACAGGCGCCCCTGCCGCAGACGGCTCCCGAGTGGGCGAGGCTGGCTGGGCAGGGGCAGCGGTCCCTACCCGCCTCAGCGCGCGGCACACCGCCTCGCCCCGCGCCACTCCGGGGGTCCCACAGCTTCGCGGCCCATGGCCGGCAGCTCGGCCTCTCCATCCGGGTGAGCTGGCCCGTGACCTCACCGGTCGCCCAGGGGCATCCACTGAGTCGGGTGAGGAAGGCCCACGTGTTGCCCTGTGTGGGCCGTTAGCTCACCTAATGACAGGTAGCCACGACTCTGTGGGCTGAGTGAAGTCACTGGTTGCCATGCAGATTTGGCTTTGAGCAGGCTGAGTGAGGTCGCTAGTTGCCAGTTAGATTTCACACTTAGATATGAAATAGGTGGGGGGAAGGACAAGTGTGAGGCACACCCCTATAATCTCTCAGCACTTGAGGGGCAGGGGTTCCAGGCCCTCTTGGAGACAAGACAAAGAGAAAATGGAAGAATAACAATGAAAAAAAACAAACAAACAGATAATAAGATTAAGGGTGATAATGAGCTAGAAACCAAGAAGAAAATGTAGGTCCAAACACTATTTTTGAAATTACGTGAGGAAATGTAAGAGAAATTTAGAATGAAGTACAAAGTCTCTGAATTTAGAATTGTAAGGACATCTCATATGAGATTCCAGGTGGGCGACTCCCAGCCTCTCCTCGCCAAGCAGCAGCAGTGCTGACAAACACACCTTAGAGGTGAGCCAAGGGTCTGGGGGTTAAGATTCAGAAGAGTACAGGTTGGTTCCTGAGAGGAGCATGGGGCCAGATGAGCCAACGGGAACTTTACTCAAGCTTGTAATGTCAGCTAAATCATGCTGCTCAAAGTGAAGCTCACAAAACTTCAGCATCACCATGCCAATGCCAGACCTGGATCCAGAGCACAAAGACAGAATCACTGCAGGGTGGGGCTGAAGATACAACCTTTAAAAACTGTGTGTGTGTGTGTGTGTGTGTGTGTGTGTGTGTGTGTGTGTGTGTGCGCGCGCACATGGCACAGCAAGAATGTTAAGGTCAGAAGACAATTTGCTGGTTTAGCTCTCTCTTCCACCATCTTGTTCCTGGGGAAGGCTGGGGCAAGAGGATTGCAAATGAAAAGAGAGCCTGGGCAATGAAGTGAGTTTGAGGCCTGCCTGAACAACTTTACTGAGACCCTGCCTCAGAAAGCAAGAAGAGGATGTGATTCTTGGGGACTGAACTCAGATCACCAGCCTTGGCAACAAACACCTTCACCCACAGAGTCATCTTGCTAACCCAAACTCTTCCATTTTTCCATCTCCCCCTCCTACCGTTTTTGGTAGTACTGGGGGTGGAATCCAAGGCTTTGTGTGTGCCGGACAAGCCCTGTGCCACTGAGCCATGTCTACTATGGTGGAAGGTAAGCCAACTCTCACAAGTAGTCATCCAGCTACACAGGCTCCACGGCATGCACATACCCACGCACATACACAAGAAATGTAAAAAGAAAAAGACAAAGCTACCAGAAAAAAATCAGATAGTAGGAAAATCTTGTGTGTGGCTACTGACATTAAGTAAGTGCTATTTGCTTGGTATATAGTATTACTCTGTTAGGTTTTAAGAGGGCACAGAAGCATAGCAACACAGCTACAGCTAAAATGATGGAGTTGGCATCCGCTTCAAAATGATGGAGAGGCATGTGGCGGGCAGCTTGGTCTCAAGAGGGAGATCAGGCCAGACAATGAGCACAAGGTGATGCCTCAGGAGCCCCCATTAGATGTGTTCAGAAATACATATTAGAATAATATTAGAATATTATTAGAATAACAGTGAGTGAAGCCAGAAGCCATCAACCTAGCCAGCTCACTGAACCATGACTATCACACCGCTACAGGAGAAGGGTGAGGGCACCTGTGAGAAGGTGAGGGGTTCCTAACAGCAAAGGGAAGGTGTGGTTACAGCCATGGGCAACAAGGATCCCAGAGTTATCCAGGAACCTAGGACACAACCTGGCTTTCCTGTTGTTTGACCACACCCACTGCAGCAGCCTGGAATTTCTCAGGCAGTGTTGTGGCTAGGCGCCCAAGGACCGTGAGCAAGTAGCTTCCGGGGAGAAAGCATCAGTGTGAGGAGAGACTCAGCCAGGTGTCCTCCACTCCCCCTGATCTTGGTATATTTGGAGAACATCCATTCTCTGCCTCTCCGAGAACGCTGCATTGCTACCCAGAATACCTCAGTCTCTAGTCACCTAGAAAGTAATGGCAGCTCAGTTTTGGAGCCACCTGGCTTGACCTAGCCGGGCAGGCTCTTCGATCGATCCCACCATGGAAGCAGTGATGTCTTTTGGAGGAGCTGTGGACTCCTGCTACACAGCTGTGTTGAACCTCAGCCTGGTTATGTGCAGGTGGATACATGCACTTAGTCCATAAAGGTTGGAAAGCAAACTTCAAACATGAGTTTTTTTAGGGGGTAGTATAATGGCTGGCCTGTACCTGATGACCTGAGTTTTATTACCGGAGACCACATATTACGAGAACCAAGTCCTACAGCTGTTCTCTGACCTTTACATGTGTCCACACATCAACACTCCCTACTACACAAACATAAGATTAATTCTAAGACTATGTAGCCTGTAATGGAATTACGATTCTTAGCAGCAAGTGTGATAGTACCCTTCCCATTTTGTTGAGGCCATTTTCAGGTCCCCCTGGCTGAGGAGCAGGTTCTGGACAAGGCTTGGGAGTCGATCGAGCATCAGAATTGGTGGGGCGGGGAAAGCATGGGAACTCAGGGCTCTAAAAAACATGGCAGCACTTTGGAGAAGGCGGACTGCTTGAGACATCTACTGGAAAAACGCTCACACTCAAGAGTCTGGAGCTGCAGTGACTCATTTATTGGCCAGCAGTACTCCACTTCCCTTACCCTGCAGGAGACCCACAGACTAGAGGCAGGGCTGGAGGCCAAGCGTGGAGTGTACTGGACATGCACACGCATTGAGCAAGGGCCACGTAACACTGGCAATGGAGCAGCCCAGCCAGGAGTATGCAGCAAAGCCAGCCGGCCCCATGGCTCCTGTGCCCCGGGGATCCAGGCTGGTGATAGCTTTAAGCTACTCTTCAGAGCTGCCTCTTCAGTCTGCTGAAAGAGATGTGTGGCCTGATGAGGGAAGTTGGGGGTTCAGGTGACAATCTTTTGTTTTGTTGCCTTATGGAACAACCTTTGAAGACTCTTTCTTAGTCAGTGACTGGCCACTTCCCACTGAAAGCTTAGGGGAAGCCACAGGCCTGAAGGGAATCCCCATAACAAAGCAGTACGCAAAGTATGCAGGGATGGGCATGAAGACAAAGACAGACAGCCCGGCAAGCAGGATCAAGCACCACACTGGGTACCGACGAACCACCTCTTTGGACTATGGAGACAGGAAAATGGGATTAAAACAGCAAAGTTCCCAGAAGAGGAAGAAGAGGAGTGGCGGGGAAGGGGGAAGGTGAGGCTAGTGAGCGCTCTGATCAGGGCCGATGGCGGGGGTTCTCAGCAAACAGGGAACCGGAAGGAGCCCAGGGTCTGAGAGGGGTCACTCACAGTGCTTGAGTCCCAGGCCATGTAGATGGGATCCCTGCAGAGCTGAATGAAGAAAGCCACAAACAGGCCTAGCAGCACCGCTGGAGACACATAGCGCCACAGCCAGTCGCAGCCAAGGAAGATGGAGCAGCTCAGAAGAGCCATCATGTCTGCAAGGAACCTGCGGAAGGACAGAGTGTGGACAGTCAGTCCCGCCTTCCCCACCTCCCAATCCTCAGCTATTTCATGGCAGGTCTGGCCTGCTTTATCTCAGTTCTCCTCTCATTTGGTGTGTCTGCCATTGCCCTGCTATTCAAAACCATCCATGGGTCTCACACCCCTCTGACCCTTCTAGATGCTAGGGACCCCAAAGCGAGACCCCACTCAGCCCTCGGAAACTCACTCCTGGGCTCTTTCAGCCACATGCTCTCAGTGTCTGCACACGCAGCAGCAAGGCCCTTGATCTAGGATGCCAGGCTTCTGCGTCTGCTTCTCTGCCTGCCTGTCCAGACTCAGCTTCAGCACACCATCCTCAGTGTGTCCCCTTACCTCCACTGTGGACCTGGGGCACCCGCTGGGCTGTCTACACATGCTCTTCTCCTACAGACCCTGTGCTCTCACAGGAGCTCAGTATGATGACTTCATACCAGTACCACAGGCTTTCCTGACAGAGGTATCCTGGCACTAGGGAGGTGACTCCAACACCCACATAAAAGACACGCACAGTAGTGTGTGCCTGTATCCTAGCACTGGGGATGTGGGGACAAAAGGATCTGTCCCCAGTCTAGCTTGCTGCCAGCCAGTCTAGCCAAATTGGTGAGCGACAGGTTCAACGAGAGGGAGGCCCTGTCTCAAAAATAGAGTGGAGAGCCACAGAACAGAGGTGCTGTGTGCCTCCACACGCGTGTGCACGGGCACCTCAGTCTCATGTTTGCTGACAGCACCAAGATGGCTGAGCAGGGAAAGGCATTATGCTGCCATGTCTGATAACCCTGGGACTAACATGGTAGAAGGAAAGAACCAAATCCCACAAGTTGTCCTCAAAACTCCATAAATGCACTGTGTCACACTCATGTCCATACACAAAATAATGTATTTTGAAAAATGGCGCTGGAGAGATAGTTCCATTAAGAGCACTTGTTGCTCTTGCTGAGGATCCAGGTTTGAGTCCCAGCATCCACATGGCAGCTCATAGCCATCTGTAACTCCAGTTCCAGGAAATCTGGTGCCCTCTTTTTGGCCTCCATGGGCACCAGGCATATGTGCGGTGCACAGACGTACATGCAGGCAAAACATTCCTACACATAAAATAATACTTTATAAAATGTTTGGTGATCTAATAAGTGGGTTAGTGACTGATAGGAGTTAGTCTGGTGTTCCTGTATTCAGGTGCTAAAATCTGGCTCCCAAGATCTGGCTGCAGTCCAGATGAATGCATGCACTGAACAACGGTGTGCAAACTTTGCTCCCCAATTATCTCTGATTGTTTCATAAAGAAAGGCTGGACAGCCTGTAAGGAGGCAGAAGAGAGGTAGGCGGGGCTTAGGTTCCTGGGCTTGGGGTCTCAGGTAGGAAGCACAAGGCGGGAGGAAGGAGAGGAAGATGGAGAGAGAGGATGTGGCATGATGAAGTGGATCCAGCCAGACAGGAAGAATACTGGCAAATGACTTGGGGCATGTGGCTGGGAAGTGGCCAGACTAGCTAAGAAAATCAGTATAAATCATACCTGCCCACCTTCTGTGCTTAAGCTTGTTAAGTGAATCAACAGGTCTCTGTCTCAATAACTTGGAAACTGGCTAGGTTAGAAAAGCCTTCTACAATAAGTGAGGGTGGAATGTATTCTAAGAATCATCTGCAAACGTTGCTTCCAGCACCTTCTGCCTTAGATCTGCACCACTGTGTGTCCTGTTGGTACCTTTGTTTGGAGACAGGGCCTCTCTGTCGTACTAGCCTCGAGCTCACTGAGGCCTGCCTGCCCCTGCCTCTGGCGAGCTGAAATTAAAGGTGTGCACATTATGGCTCACCCTGTTAATTTTTGAACTGCGGTGATGAAATACCTGACAGAAAGACATTTAAGGGAGGGAAGGTTTACTTTCCTCTTGATTTCAAAGGGGATTTGGTCCATCATGATAGGAAGAAATGATTGCAGAGATGTTTCAAATGGCTAGCTATTTCACAACAGTACCCAGTCTTGCTGACTCCCTGCCGGTCCTCCTCCCAGTTTCCAGCCCAGCCCCTTTAACGTTTCTCCCAGTCATTCTCCACCAACTGCCTTCTCTTTTCAGTCGGCTGGGCCCTCGCCCTGTCTTGCCCCCAGCCCCTACCTCTCAGCCTCAGCTGGCTTTTCTATACCCTCTCCTGTTCCCAGAAGTCCAAGAGGCAACCTACACTGAAGGTCATGCAGTTATAACAGCTATGAATTTTTAAAGGACCAGTTGTCTAGCAACTGGGGATCCTTTAAAAAGCTAGCCGCACAAGAAAGATCACACTATAGAGATGGCTCCATCCACAGTGCCGAAGCATGGAGTAGACAGGAAAACAGGAAAGTCAGGCTAGAGCCCTGTGCTGGGTATCACTCCCACCAGCCAGGACCAACACGTAAAGTCTGCACAAGTCTGCGCGATCCCTACCTTCCTGGATCAGGCCATTCTCCCACATCTTTGCTGCCCTAACAAGCCACTGCTGGCTCTCACTTGAATCTTAGGCAGCCTCCAAGTCTCCTCCTTGGTTCTGCTGGTTGTTTCTCCACAGACACCAGAGGTGCCTTCTTAAAACAATAAACCTGAGGGGCTGGAGAGATGGCTCAGCAGTTAAGAGCACTGGCTGCTCTTCCAGTAGGCCCTGAGTTCAATTCTCAGTACCCACATGGTGGCTCGCAACCACCTATAATGGGATCTGGTGCCCTCTGCTGGCGTGCAGGTAGAGCAACATATTAAAAATAAACATAAAGCTGGTGGCGCACGCCTTTAATCTGAGCACTTGGGAGGCAGAGGCAGGTGGATCACTATGTAAGATCAGCCTGGTCTCTATAGCCAGCTCTAGGACATCCATGGGTAAATAGTAAGACCCTGTCACCAAAAAATGTTTTTTAAAAAAATCTGGTGCTGGTGCTCCTTACTTAAAACTACCCAGTGTTTTGTGTACACCCTGCGTACAACGCTAAGTCATGTCATGGCTTACAAGGCCTCACCTTCTGCCCACAAACCTAATTCTACTGCAGTTTCCATGGATTATCTGTTCCTTCAAAGCATCAAGCAGGGCATTTCCTCTGAGGCACACACAGGCAGCTACACTCCCGCTGATATGCTCACATACACGTCCACCACACACATATCAATCACAGCTCCTCCCTCACTGTGCTGAGTCTTATGACATGTCACCCTACCAGAAAGACCTTCCTTGTGACTCTGTCCACACCACACACACCTACTGGAACCATCGGGGCCTCTGCTTTTGTCTTGTCCTTTGCCCCGCGTGTGCATGCAGGCTCTAGAGCTTGGTGGCAGGTGGCTCCGGCTCCCTCTGTTGCTCCGCACCTGCTTTTCTGAGACGAGGTCTCTCGTTGAGCTTGACACTCTACTATCTGGCTGCCACAGCCCTGGGACCCTCTTGTTTTCACCTCCCAGTGTGAGAATGGGCACCACCCTGGCCACTGACATGGTTCTGGGGACAGAGCTCACACCCACGCTTGCACAGCAAGGGACTTTCCAGCCGAGCCTCCTCCCAGCCTCACTGTGCTGTATGGCCTTGGTGTCTGTCAGTGTTGCTGCTGTCTGCCCTACTCTGGAATGTAGGCTCCTGACCTCAGGGTGCTAGCATTGGTGTATGCAGCGCCCCTGCTCACTAGCAACTAGCAGGTCGTAAGGCCTAAAGCACATGAAACACACAAGAGTGTGACAAAGAAACATTTCCTGGAAGCCTTGAAGTTAATGGTCCTTGTGTCGTGTTAGTTTGAGATTCGAAATAACAGCCCCCCCCCCCCCCCCCCGTAAATATCACTGCTCTGGGGCTGCTCTGGCCTTACCTCTTGGCCCCATAGGCCCAGGCTACAGCAAGGGTTTCACATATGATGATGCTGATGGTGGGCAGCACTATCCAGTATTCAGACAGCAGTGAAAAGTAGTAGATTCCTGAAGGCTGGAGGAAGAAGAGGCTGCACAGGAACAGCACCGTGGAAGCACCCACTGGGAGGAAGCATTGGGTCTGTGTCAGGATCAGAGGTCTCACATGATGGGGCTAAGGGGCAGTCAGAGGCCAGGGCCGGTGTGAGACTGTGGGGAAGCAGAACGATAGGTGGAGTACCAGTAAGGCTCTTTGGCTGTCTCCTGCAGAAGGAGAAGGTGTCCTGGAGTGGACTGATGACGCCCAGCGTTAACATTAGAGCAGCACACAGCCCCAGACTCAGCAGCAACAGGGAGCGGAAGACAGCCCAGAAGGCAGGCCCAGAAGGAGTGAGATGACTTCAGTGAAGATGAGGGCACAAACTGAGGGCTCTCCTCAGTCTACAAGGGCGGGAAAGCAAAGCGCTCTCTCTGCCTTCTCTAGAAGCCCCCGGGAGCCTGAGGAGGACAGACCTCCTGGCACACCTGAAGGACCCTGGCCCCCAGCCCACGATCAGTGTTCTGTGGACGGCAGTTCCCACATCACCAGGGCTCTGAATCCTATTTCTTTCTGGGATTAATGAAAGCTGACCTGTCTGTGGTACAGAGTACCTCGCTCGCCCTGGGCCACCTCCACTGACCTTCAGAAGCTTCTCCTGGACGTTGCACACGGGCACTTTGCTGGCGACAGCTCTCTTCAAGGGTGGTGGGAGGCTACTGAGCCAGGAATGATAGGTGAAGGTCGGGTTGTCCTGCAGGTCAGGGGGCTGTGCCTCAGGAGGTAGGATTCCATGGGCTATGAGCATTATGATTGCCTCTGTGTTCCTGAGGGTGAGGGTGAGTCAGAGCTGTCAGACCCTTTGGCACTGGCCTTCCCTTTTTCATCTTACAGATGAGAGCCATCTTGAGCCCTGCATTACTGACCTGGGCAAAGAAAAGCCTACAGTGAGATCTAGAGGATGCCCATTTTCAGGGCCATGGAGAACACGTGGCCTGGGGGAGGCTGGGGGAGGGTTTCTATGGACTCCCTGGGGACTCTGTGGTCTTGGTCTTTAGGATCTTTTCGAGGAGTAGGAAGAAAAAGTCAACCTCTTAAGCCCCACATTACAGACAGCTGGGGAGGCTTGCTTGGATTCTGAAGTGTGTGACAGGCCCAAGTTATGCTGCGTGAAAGAATGTTACTTTGACTCTGACCAGAGTCCTTACCGAGAGCAAAACGCAAACTTTGTGAAAGTAAGTATAGACTGATCATGTCCTAAAAATTAGAATAGGGTGCTATTCTGGTAACAAGCCAGTTATACATTTGGACAAATATTCTCTTTGTGAGTAAGTTAAGCTGAAATAGATTTTTACTTTCCTCATAAGAATAAAACTGTTGACAAGGGGCTAGAGAAACGGCTCAGTAGCAAAAAGAACACTTGCTATTCTTCCAGGGGATACTTATTTGATTCCCAGCACCTATGCCAAGAGGCTCGCAACTGCCTGTGACTCCAGCTCCTGGGCATCTGAGGCCCTCCTCTGGCTTCTCCTTCTACTTACACACTGAATAAAGAATGTGAAAACATTAGTTAATTAAACAAAATAAATAAGCAGAGGTATAAAAGCCAAAATAAGACCTCCACCCGCCCTTTGAGACAGGGTCTCTCTTCTTAGCTGTCCTGGAGCTCTCTTCTCAGCTGTCCAGGCTGGTCTCAAACTCACAGAGACCTGCCTGCCTCTACCCCTGCTGGGATTAAAGGTGTACCCCCATGCCTGGCAAACATTCTCCTCTTAAGCCCAGCACCTGACAATGAGAAGGCCACACCTTCTTTTTTTAATATTTAAAAGAGCCAACCACTTGCTGCGGTCCTTCCATGTAGCAGGGAATGAGCAGAAAGGTGTTTAAGAAATAAGTGGAAATTAAAAGTCCCCAATAGGCTGTGTGCACAAGGCAGCCTGAGCTTGAACTTGAAGCCCAGTTTTTGACTCTGATTATCCTCATGACCAAGACTTCAGTTCCAAGAAGTCTCTTTTCAAAGCTCCAGTTCAAAGGAACTCACCTCAAATCTAGGTTGTTACAAATCTCCATCACTAAGCCAGATCTAGAGCTATAAGCCTATGGTCTCAAATCTTGCAAAGTCTGAGTCAGGAGGATCACAACTTCAAGGCCAGCCTGGGCAACGTAATGAGCCACAACTCCTATACTTAAGGGTCAGGAAATACAGTGGCAGAAAGGTGGAAAGATTTTGAGAGCCTATGGTCTCAGAATGACTTCTGTATGACAGGGCAAGGATGTTGCCCCCATGAACTCTCAACAATGTGGGGGTCTGCACAAGGGTTACAAAGACCACAGCAGTAAATACGGCATCATGAATGGAGGGACATTCACAAGGCGCACCCCTAGATGAAGAGCTATAGTAGTCAATGGCTGCTGAAGGAGGGAGAACCAGTTTTTTATGTTGGTTTTTAGGGAAAGAACTGGGTGGGGGAGTGAAAATGACACAAACACATTATCTCATATATATTATCTCAACTTAATATAAGTAAACAAGCCTGGAGGTGGTGGCGCACGCCATTACTGCCAGCGTTAGGGAGGGAAAAGCAGGTGCGTCTCTGAGTTCGAAGCTGGCCTGGACTACAGCGCGAGTTCCAAGATAGCCAGGACCAAACAGAGAAATATTGTCTTGGAAACAAACAAACAAGCAAATTGCTGGGTGGTGGAGTACACACATTTAATCCTAGCACTTAGGGGGCAAAGGAAGTTGGATCTCTGTGAGTTCAAGGCCAGCCTGGTCTATAGTGAGTTCCAGGACACCCAGGGCTACACAGAGGAACCCTATCTCAACAAATAAAGAATAATAATTTAAAAATAAATGAGTGAACAAATAAATTGTTTGTTGGTCATGGTGGTGCACACCCCGGATCCCTGAACTCAGAGGGTAGAGGCAGGTGGGTCTCTGAATTTGAGGGCAGCCTGGTCTACAGAGTGAGTTCCTGTTCTACATAGTGTATTCCAGGACAGTCAGGGCACATGGTGAGACCCTTCTCAGAAAAATAAATCAATCAATTAATAAATATTTAAAAGGGTACTAGAGAGATAGCTTAAGAGTACGGGATGCTCTTACGAGTGCCCACGTTCAGTTCCCAGGGCCCACATTGTTGCTTTCAACTACCTAGACTCCAGTTTCCGAGCCTCTGACACTTTCTGGTCTCTGTAGGCACCAGGCATGCACAGTTATACATGCTGGCAAAATACTCATGCACAGAAAATAAAATAAAATAAAGCAGAATAAAATACAAGCATATTCAAAACTAAAAATAAATGCAGACATGCAGTGAAAAGGGCTGGGTCATCCCTGTGTAGAACACTTGCCTATCTCACACAAAGTCCTAGGTTCAACTCCAACCACTACAGGTTGGGTGTCCAGAGACAGAGGCAGGAGATTTTTAGTAAGCTCAGGGTCAACCAGGTCAACACAGAAAGTCCCAGGCCAGTCAGGACCAAAAAGAGAGATCCTGTCTCCAAAAAGGGAAAAGTTTTTATTTTTATTATTTTAAATTTATGTGTCTGGGTGAGTGTGTGAGTGCACGTGGCAACAAAATCAAGAGGGCATCAGACCTCTTAAAAGATGTGGTGTCTGTGAGCTGCCAGGCATGGATTCTGGGAACAGAACTTGGGTCTTCTGCACAAGCAGCACTACGTGTTCTTAACCCCTGAGTCATCTCTCTAGCCCCAACAAACAATTAACAAAATTAGTAAACAAAGGAGAAAAACAATCAAAAGCTGATTTAAAAATAAACCATAGGGGCTGGAGAGATGGTTTCAGGAGATCTGTTTGCCCTTTCCTGGCCTCTGAAGATATCAGAAACTTTTGTGGCACACAGACATCCACGCAGGCAGAAACCCACACACATTAAAAATAAACTGTGGCTAATGTAGAACAGCGAACGAGAGAAGAAAAGGCCAGTGCACTGTAGAAGCCCAGTGCAGTGTTCCCTCTGGGAGGGAAGAAACATTACTATTAGGAAATACAGGGTGTGGCTGGGAGACAGCTCTCTGCAAGCATGAAGACTCAAGTTCCAATCCTACCACTTAGGAATAGCGCTCAGCCACATGTGCCTGTAACCCAGCACTCAGGAGACAGAGAAGGGCAGATCTCTGAGTTCCAGGCCAGCCTGGTCTACAAAATGAGTTCCAGGACAGCCAGGACTACACAGAGGAAAAAAACCTTGTCTCAAGAAACAAAACAAAGCAAAACAAAACATAAGCCTGAACCCAGGTAAAGGTGAAAGGAGACAACTGACACCACAAAGCTGTCCTCTGACCTCCATCCCCTCCCCCATACCAAGCACACAGTACAATGATAAACAGCTAAAGAAATAACATATTTTATTAATGCTTATCAGACTTGCAAAATTAAGAGGTCCAGCAAAGTTTAATAAAGTGCTATGCAAAACAATGAGAAGGTGTCCTCACACTCCCTTCTGGGAGGGCATTCTGATTAAACCACTGTGGCAAGCAGACCCTGAGCAGACCCTGCCCACACTACCTTCCAGGGCTTAGTCTGCCCTGCACATGTCCAGGCACTGAGTCCTTGGACTCCAGACTGTATGCTATGCTGATGTGTCTGTGTGGTTGGATCCCAGTGATTGCACCCTGTACTAAACAAGTACAAACCATGCCAGGGAGAGCTGGGCGTGATGGCACACAGCTGTAGTAAGCCTAGCAGATGCAAGGCTCAGACAGACAGACAGCTGTGAGCCAAGCCAGCAGGACCACAAGGGGATACTGACCCAAAGCAAATCAAAACTTGTATTCCCTAAACAGTACAGAGTTAAATCTACTGACAGCACAGCTGTTCAGGGCTGTGTTGGCCACCCCAGGGTGATTTCTGTCTCCATGAAGACATGGCAGGAATATTTAGATACAGCAGTACATTACACAAGGAATGAAGCAGCTCCAGGTGGCCGCACCTGAGAGGCAACCGATCTCTGTGGTTTTTGAGGGGCAACTGCATCTGTCTCGTTCTATAGAGCTGACCTGGAATGATCCCTCCTGAACACAGGACACAGGAAACTAAGCAAACTTGGAAGGCACCGGAAGCTCAGAAAGTTACAAGAGCCATGAGGCCCCTCCCTAAAGCGATGCATACGGTGACAGCAGCTGGGGAGAAGGACTTCCTAGAATGGACAGCAAGTGGTCCCAGAGCTCCAGGGAGGCAGCTTTCGAAAGGGGTCGCCCCTGTGTGCTGGACTTTCTTTCTCTTTCTCTTTTTTCCAGACAAGGTTTCTCTGTCCTGGACTTGCTTTGTAGACCAGGCTGGCCTCGAACTCATAGAAATCTGCCTGCCTCTGCCTCCCCGAGTGCTGGGACTACAGGCGTGCACCACTGCGCCGCTTGTGTGGTGGGCTTTCTAGTCATAGTCAGTCATTTTCCTGGAGGTAATCTCTCACCCATGCCTGCATGAGCAGCCCCAGGAGGTCACTGGCTTGCCAGCTAGGCTAGAGTGAGCCCTTCTTTGGCCTGTTGTCAGTTCCCTGCTAGTGTGGACCGATATCTGTGCATTCGCTCAGGAAAAGTCACACAACAGCAGCTTTAGGAGAAAATGGCAGTCACCTGTGGGAATTGGGGTTACTATGGAGAAATCCAGCTCAGGCCCTCTCTGGAGGGCCTCTCTGACTCTCTCAGCTCACACTACAGCTATCAGAAATTTGTGACTAGCTGGCTTATCACTCAGTTCTTCATTCCTTCTCCTCCAAGACTGAAAAAGCAATAAAAGCAAGAAGTACACTGATGAGCCAGTCCAAGTGTCTGTGGTGTGCAAAGGGCACACTGCAGCAATAAGCTGGAATGACAGCAGAAAAGCACAAACAGGTTCTGGCGTTCTCGCACACAGTAGGATATTTATAGTTAATCATAGTGTGCCACATATTTAAAAATAACAAGGAGGCCGAACACATGCATCGCTTGCTTTTCCTCTAGAGGACACAGACTGCGCTCCCAGAACCCACATGGTCGCTCACAGCATTAGCAGCTCCTTTATGGGGAGCTGACACCCTCTCTTGACCTCTACAGACACCAGGAATGCACATGTCATTCATACATCAACGCAGGCGAAACACTCCTACATGCATAAATAAATAAATACATAAATAAATAAAACTTAAAAACACACAAGCCGGGAATGATGATACACAGCTGTAAGCCAAGCTTTGAGGAGTCAGAGGAAGGAAGATCAGAAGTTCAAGTCTAGCCTGGGCTCCATAGGGCATTCCAGGCCTATATAATGAGACCCTGTCTCAAAACGCAAAACAACCTGACAGAAGTTTGATTTCAGCACAAGGAAATGATAATGCCTGAGGTGTGATCATTACTCTGATTTATCAGTATGCGATGCATACAGATACCACGATATACCCCATGTACACACAGAACTAGACTGTGTCAATGAGACCAAAATGAGATGAAGATCTGGCAGACAGTGCCAGCTTGGAGAGACTCCTCAGGGCTGCCAGAGGGGCAGGGACTGCTACCTTTTAGAATGGACAGCTACAGGACTGTAGGAAGCAGACATCCCTGGATGGTTCTGTGTGGTATGGTCTCAGAATATGTTCTCTGTGTGTGGGTGACCTTGGCATGCCTGCCATTCCCAGCATCCTTAGTACATTAGCTCTGAGATACCAGTTGGCAACCTCTGGAGTTCTCTAATGTTAGAAAGAAGCTCTAAGACATAAAGGATTCTGGCCTCTTTTCTCAGCTAAGAGAAAACAGAGCTTATAGCCTCCCTGGCACTGAGGTCTATGAAGGGGCTGTGAAGCTGCTCTGGCTGGACCTCACCAGGGAGCTGGCCTTACCTCTTACAGCAGCGATGTGTAGTTATGGTAGCCCAGAAGCTCAGGACGGAGAGGATGAAAGGCGTGGTGAACATCAAGGTGAGTATCTTGATCACAGCCATAAGGAAGGCATCATGAAGACAATTGTTGAAGTCAGGCATGTGTGAGGCTAAGGAAACAATGGGGCCGAAGCCTAAGCCCATATCAAACATCACCTGGGTCCCTGCTTGGGACCACATAGTTAGGTCGTAGATGCTTGCCACCTAAAAAGGAGAAGACAGGTACAGCAGACACATCAAGATCTGGGCGAAGAAAACCGTAGTACAGATGTCATCTCCTCAAGGGAGGAGCTATGGGAGACGATGCCAGGGAGCTGTGCTGCTTGAGGAAGGGCCTCACCTTGAGGATCAGTAGGTGTTTAAGCCCGTGCTCGGAGCCCTCCAGTGTCACAGTCCGGAAGAGGAAGCAGGTGATGATGAAGTAAGGGAGCAGCACCAAGACATACAGAACCTGTGCGGGCAGTGCAGCACGTCAGCCCTCACGTCAGCTGACAGACTCACCCTCTGGAGAGCTAAGGCGGTGGGTTAGGCTTCAGAAGAGTTATCAGCCAGGCAAGGAGCCTGCAGAGATAACTGGCCAACAGGGAGAAATAAGGTCAGAGCACCTGAGAATGCCAACGGCCAAGTATAGCTCACCTTCCCAATGGATTTCATCCCATTGAACATGAAAATACAAATGAGACACCAGGCCACAAAAAGGAACATGCTCAGGCTGAAGGCTGGTGGCCCTCCATCCTCAATGCTATCTGAGGCTTTCAAGGTCTTCCGGTACCAAAAGTATGTGTAGGATGTTGCCTGTTCACATTCAGGATCTGGGAAGACACGGCTTTGGACAGGCCTGCTAGACAGGGCAACCCCCTCACTCCCTGCATCCCTCTGCTCTGTCCATTGCCTTCCTCTTCATACCCCTCATTGCTCTTTTCTCCTTTTCCCAAGTCCCTTCATTTCTCTCCTCCTTCCTCACCAAAGTTACTGGAATTCCTTTGCAAGGGACATTTCTCCCACGGAAAGACAAAGTAGAACATGTGGCTCATGTAGAAGAGGATCCAGGAATTGAACAGATTGGTGAAGGTGTTAGCGATGAAGCACACCTGGAAAGGAGAGGAAAGGTGTCTGGGGAGAAAGAGCAGAAACAGGGAGAAAGAAGGGATCTGACGAAGGACAGATGGGCTGAAGGAGCATGTTTCACAGAAGGCCAGAGCTGGGATCTTCTCCATGGAGAAGGATGGAGAGCAGCTGTGGGGCAGGCTTGTGAAGCCTGGCTCCTCACCAAGAACATGCTGTATCCGATTCCACCAAACCAGGGGCCCAAGGTCTTCCACAGGTCCATGCTGCTCTGCTGTGCCCTCTGACCAACTGCCATCTCCAGGAAGAGCAGAGGAATCCCAACACACAACAACAATAAGATGTACGCTATAAGGAAGCTAACTGCAGAGAGAAGGGAGAAGGGCGCTGAGAGTCTCAAGCCCATGCTGCCTGCGCCTACTCTACGTGCCCAGGAAGACTGCTCACCACCAGCAGCCTCCCTCAGGTCACAGGCTTCAGGTCTGCCTGCTCCACATCCCTCACTGGCCAAGCTCCTTACTTCTAGGAGTCTCAGATACCTAGTCATCGCTCCCCTCCCCCAACACTCTGCCTGACCAACCCACTGGATTATGTTTACAATCCTGCACCTGTCACCTCTCCTAACCCTGGGTGCCCAGACATCTGGATTCTGTCCTGCTCTGACATCTGTATGTCTCAGGAATGTCAGCACTGGAAGCCAGGACCAGCCTCACTCCTGCTGTCCCTTTTGGGTCCACATGTCCTGGTTCTCAGACTTACAGCCTCCTTTGTGAAGACACCGTGAGACAAAGCGCCAGAGTCTACCAGGGTTCATCAAGTAGCCCATCAGGGCCAGGATGTACTCAACCTTGCTGGACCAGAGTGGACGTGGAGTGAAGACATCGCTGTCTTCCTTGTTTATCTTTGTCATCTCCTCTGAAGATTCCTGTGTCACAATTGTCACAGTTGCTTCTTCTACGGGACTGGACTTAGGTTGTATTCCACCTCTTGCCTGAGCCTCCAAAGCAAGGGTTTCCCAGGCCTGAGCCTTTGCCATCCGGGACTTTGAAACTTTGGCCTCTGCGACCCAGGCTGATTCAGACCAGGTCGTTAGGGGACTCAGCACGGAAAGTCTTCTTTCTGTGGATACATTTTTTCCCTGAAAGGACTTCAAAGACTTTGTCAAGGAGGATCCCGAAGGTAAATCCTCTAGAGAAGCACTTGGTTTGGTTTGGGAAGGTGTACTTCCACCTTTGTTAGTGGACCTAAGAATCAAAAGCCACAGATTTACTTAGTTTCAGAAAAAAAAGTATGCAATACATACGTTAACATAAAAAGCCACATATTTTAGGTGAAATCTAATGAGGAAATTATTCTCAGGCTTAATTAAGGATTTGCTGAGTTTCAAACTATCTTAAAGGACACTATCATTTTTACACCCTCCACTTACTGATATTCAAAACACAAACACCATACGAGTACCATAGTTATACCACACACACCACAATCACACATACTGCACACAGGCTCCGCATGTATCACACACACATGCACACACACACACAGACAAACACACGCCAAACCCAGGCAGCACACGCATCATCACCTTCACGTGTGCCACAAACACCTACCAATACATGCACACATGTACCACACAACACATCCAGACAATACTGGCAGCTACCCTACATACAAGCATCAAAGACACACAGACCACACATACACACACAGCACCTGCACACACATGAATGACTTAGCGCCCACACATACACATGCGCCACATGCACACGTATGCACCATACACATCCACCACACACTTGCCACACATACATTTCTTACATCAGTTTTTTTTACTTCTTCAACAAGGGACAGGGGTCTGGGTAGCTAACATGAGGAGGCAGGGCGGTGGGAGCCACACTAAGGATTTCTGAAAACAGAGATACACTCCCTCCAAAGCTCTTCCACAGCGGCTTCCACTAGCAATCTCAGTCTTCAAGAGACAGGGCAGACGGAGGGCAATGGCTTTGAGGCCAGCTGTGGGCTACAGAGGGGCTGAGGATGGAGAGGAACAGACGAGGGGGAGAGAGACAGAGACAGAGAGAGGGCCAGAGAGACAGCCAGACAGCAAGAGAGAGAGAGACAACCAGAGAGAGAGACAGAGAGAGAGAGACAGCCAGAGAGAGAGAGAGAGAGAGGCAGCCAGAGAGAGAGACAAAGCCAGAGAGAGACAGCCAGAGAGATAGCCAGAGAGAGACACACACAGAGAGACAGCCAGAGAGACAGCTAGAGAGACAGCCAGAGAGAGAGAGAGAGAGAGAGAGAGAGAGAGACAGCTAGAGAGAAACAGCCAGAGAGACACAGCCAGACAGCAAGAGAGAGACACAGCCAGAGAGAGAGAGACACACACACACAGCCAGAGAGACACACACACAGAGAGATGGCCAGAGAGAGAGACAGCCAGAGAGAGAGACAGCCAGAGATGGCCAGAGAGAGAGAGATACATAGAGAGAGACAGCCAGAGAGAGAGAAACAGCCAGAGAGAGAGTCTGATTCTCTTTGCAGTGGGATTTTACTTGCTGTTTTGAGAAAGACATTTGCTGGGAAGCCTAGGCTGACCTGGAGGTCATGGTGCTCCTGTCTCTGCCACCAAAAGAAAGGCTTAGAACAACCTGTTTTACCTCTGCAAGTCTCCCATTTGTCAGCACTCAAGCACTCCTCACAGAGGAGCCCCACTTGCCCCTAATTCACATAGACGCTGCCTCCCAATTCTCTCTACCCACTTTTGTTCTTCACGGTGCTCCTCATTCCTGATTCTCTGTCACCTCCGTCTCCCACTCTACCCTCCACCCCAACTCCTGAGCCAGAGGATGGTCCTGCACCTCATGTCTAGGGCCACTTTTGTCCTCGATCGGATCACGTCACTCTGACCTTTGTTGGTCTTCAAATATTCCAAGAGACAGAGGTCAGGGAGTGTGCTGAAAAGGAAAAATGGAAAGTTCTGTGAAAGAGATGAAGAGAAGGAAAAACAATGAGTGACTCAGCTGAAAAAGGGCTTGCCATGTGAGCCTAGGATGGGAGTCCAATCCCAGGGTACACACGAAGGCGAGGCATGGTGGCATGCATGTAGGAGGGAGAGGGAGACAGAAGCCATGACAGACTAACTGGTCAGCTCTACACCAGTAAAACACGGTCTCATGAGACAAGGTGGACAACTCCTAAGGAAACACACAAGAGGCGATTCTCTGGCTTCACACACACACACACACACACACACACACACACACACACACACACACGAGGTAAAACATTCCAGATAGACAAAGTCTATATATCTAAGCTAAAAAAAAAATAGCAAAGTTAAACTATATCACTGAGTTCATATATATGGGAAAGTGCAAAGAAAAGCAATGAGGTGACCATACGGTTATGTCAGCAAAGGAAGGTGCATGGACTGTAACCTAAAAGGGTGCTCTAGAGTCATGATAATTTCTCTCTGTCTCTCTTGGTTTTTTGTGTGGTTTTGTTGTTGTTGTTGTTTGTTTACTATTTAATTCTTTGAGACAGGGTTTCTCTGTGTAGCCTTGGCTGTCCTGGAACTCACTTTGAAGAACAGGCTGGCTTCAAACTCAAAGATTTGCCTGCCTGCCTCTGCCTCACATGTGCTGGGATTAAAGGTGTCACCAGCATGCCTGGCTCTCTTGTTTTTTTTTTTTTTTTTTTTTTTTAAGACAGTGCTTCATATTGTAGCTCAGGATGGCCTAAAACTTGTAGCCAAGTTTGGGTATCTTGTGTATTCATTTTCATTGAATTCTAGGAACTCTTTAATTTCTTTCTTTATTTCTGTATTGACCCAGTTTTCATTGAGTAGAGAGTTCAGTTTCCATGAGTTTGTAGCTTTCTGTTGTTTTTATTGTTGTTGAAATCCAGTTTTACTCCATGGTGGTCTTATTTTAGTTATTTTGCATCTGTTGAAACTTGCTTTATGACCTAGTATGTGGTTAACTTTGGAGAATGTTCTGTGAGGTGCTGAGAAAAGGTATATTCTTTTGTGTTTGGGTGAAATGTTTGGTTTATAACATCTGTTAGCTTCAGTATTTCTCTGTTTAGTTTTTGGCTGGATGACCAGTCTGTTGGTGAAAGTGGGCCATTAAAGTCTTCCATTATCACAGTATGAGGGTTGATATACAATCTAAGTTTTAGAAATGTTTTCTTTAAAATTGTGGGTGCCCTTGCATTTGGGGCATATATGTTAAGAATGGAAATATCATCTTGGTGGATTTTTCCTTTGATGAGTAGAAAGTGCCCTTCCCTCTCTCTTTTGATTAACTTTGGTTTGAAGTCTATTTTGTTAGATATTAGAATGGCTACTCCAGCTTGCTTCTTGTTCTATTTATTTAAAAAATCTTTTTCCAGCCTTTACTCTGAGGTAATGTCAATCTTTGATGTTGAGTTTTATGTGTGGGTGTGTGTTTTATATGCAGAAGAATTGATCCTGTTTTTGAATACATTTTGTAATCTGTACTCTTTATTGGGGAACTGGTCCGTTGATATTGTGAGTTATCAATGACCAGTGATTGTTAATTCCTATTACTTTGTTGCGGGTGGTGGTAGATTTGGTGGTGGTGGTGTGTGTGTGTGTGTGTGTGTGTGTGTGTGTGTGTGTGTTTCTTTTTTGGTTCTGTAGGTGTGAGATTATTTATTTACTGTGTTTTCATGTGTGTAGTTAAGCCTTGGGTTGGAGTTTTCTTTCTAGTACCTTCTGTAGGGCATTATCATGGAATGTCTTGTTTTCTCTAACTATGATGATTGAAAGTTTTGTTGGGTATTGTAGTCTGGCTGGCATCTGTGGTCTCTTAAGAGTCTGCCAGACATCTGTCCAGGCCCTTTTAGCTTATAGAGTTTCCACTGAGAAGTTGGGTGTAATTCTAATAGGTGTTTTATACCTTGCTTTCTGTTTCCTCTCTGGTCTTCTGGTTGGTGTGGCCTGTGGTTGAGCAGGGGGTCACCACCTGAGTTGGGGGCTGGGACATGGTGACCAGGAGGGGATGGGGGATTGAGGATAGTGTTGGGGGGCACCAAGAGAGTGGGAGAGATCTGCAGGTGGGCAGCCTACCTGGAGTTCTGGTGGCTGGCGTGGCTTCTGGTCAAGCAGGAAGTCTCCACCTGATTTGGGGCCTGGGATAGTGATGAGGAGGAGAGGGAGAATTGGAGTTAGGATGCGGGAACACTGAGGAAGTGGGAGAGGTTTGAGGGTGAGCAGCTTACCTGGAGTTCTGATACATATATGTATATGTTTGTGCACGGATGCATGCATGCATGTATGTGTGTATGTATGTATTTTGGTTTTTGCCACAGGGTTTCTCTGTGTAGCCCAGGCTGTCCTGGAACTTGCTCTGTAGACCAGGCTGCCCTTGAACTCAAGAGATCTGCCTACCTCTAAGTGCTGGGAGTAAAAGCCTGTGCCACAATGCCTGCCTATGGTAGATACTTTTAAAAAAAGAATGTATGATGTTTACAATTTCAGACTATTGATTACTTTTTGTAGTGTTAATCTTTTTGTTTGCTTGTTATTTTTAAATTTATTGATATATGCACATGTATTTCTGGAGGACAGGAGAGGATGTGTGATCCTCTGGAACTAGAGTTACAGGCAGTTTGAGTCATTCAGTGTGGGTACTGGGAATTGAGCTCAGGCCCTCTGCAAGAGCAGCAAGTGGTTTATATGCACTAAACAATCTCACAACTCTTAAAAATTTTTATTTATGGATTTATTGATTGATTGATTTTGAGAAATGGTGTGGCTTTGGAGCTTACTCTGGGCCGGAACTCACATCCTCCTTCAGCGTCCTATGTGTTAGGATTACAGGTATGACCCACTATGCACAGTTCTTTTTCAGTCTTTTGACACCATTTGCTTCTGGATATTTCTTTTGGCTATTTTATGTTATTTAAAAAGTACTTTATCTTAATATTTTTAAATGGTGAAATAAAATATGTGTCCATAAGAACATAGAGCAGCTTAAACCACCAATCTGTGTGCATTATCTGTTACTATAACAAAATATCCAAAGGCTTGAACTAAATAAAGAAAAGAGGTTTGTTTAGCTCATAGTATTGAGGACCTAACAACATGATGTCAGTATCTGCACTGCTCTGTGAGGGTCACTTGTCTGTGTCACAGCAATCTGGATGACATTATGCTGAGAGCATGAGGAAGAGGAACAAGTCACATAGCAAAAATAAATCCAGAAAGACTCAGTAGTCAAGCTTACTTTCATGATAACTTCCTCACTGGTGTGCTTGTGTAGACGTGTAAAGACAACAAGGAGGAGAAGAAGGCAGGAGGAAGTCAAGGTTATTCTTGGCTACATAACTAGTTAGAGATCAACTTGGTCCACATGAGACCAGGATTAATATTTTTCTGAAGGTGATGGCTTCAAAGACATAATGTTTGTTATTGAATTTCTAAGAGTCAGACCTGGGCC